CTGATGCTGTTACACTTGAGACAATTCTCAATTCACCGAGGGGCAAGCATACATTGGGGAATAGATCTACTAATAACTAACAGATCTCATAGATGTACAAATGATGATGCTGGGCAACAATGACCTCCCGGAGGGTAGGTGAAGGCAGGGTTACTGACTAGTATCGTACCGAGCCAGACCATTATTAAATTATGAGAAACGGTTATGATAAACAAAGACTGACGTACCCAAGCCTAACCCTCCCTATAGAGCGCCGAGGAGGAAGATTGAGGCATAGCGTTTGACCCAGAGGTCTGGGAAGCGAAATAACTGGTGCGGGGAGTAGCTAAGAGTCCCTAGAGTGAGTAACTGACTAACATGAAGTGAGATATAAAGAGACTGACGTACCTAAGCCTAACCAACCTAACCTAGCGCCCAGGAGGAATATTGAAGCATGGCGTTGGACCCAGAGGTCCGGGCGGCAAGATGAGTGGTGCGGGGAGTAGCTAGAAGTCCATAGAGTGATATTTTAACAGCGTTAAGTGAGAAAGTAATGTGAAAAAAAGATACAGACGCACCTTGCCCCCCCCCCTCCCTCTAGAGCGCTAAGGAGGAAGATTGGTCCATAGGGTGGGACCCAGATGTCCGGGCAGCGAGATGAGTGGTGCGGGGAGCAGCTAAGACTCCCTAGAGTGAGATGTGAACAGCGGTAAGTGAGAAACCGACGTCAAAAAAAGATACAGACGCACCAAGTCTTCCTCCTCCCTCCAGAGCGCTAAGGAGGAAGATTGGTCCATAGGGTTGGACCCAGAGGTCCGGGCAGCGAGATGAGTGGTGCGGGGAGTAGCTATGACTCCCTAGAGTGAGTGACAAACAGCGTTAAGTGAGAAGCCAACAGGAAAAAAAGATACTGACACACCAAGTCTTCCTCCTCCCTCCAGAGCGCTAAGGAGGAAGATTAGTCCATAGGGTTGGACCCAGAGGTCCGGGCAGCGAGATGAGTGGTGCGGGGAGTAGCTATGACTCCCTAGAGTGAGTGACTAACAGCGTTAAGTGAGAAGCCAACAGGAAAAAAAGATACTGACACACCTTGCCCTCCTCCTCCCTCCAGAGCGCCAAGAAAGAAGATTGGCGCATAGCGCAAGAAAAAAAGATGCGGGCGGTGAGATTTTTTTTGCGGGGTCATTGCTGGCAGTGTCTCAACCAGTCCAGAACATGTGGAGGTGCCCAGGGGTCGTGGTGAAAGGAGAGCAGGCCAGAAACAAGTCGAGAGCGTGTGGGAACAGCAACTTTTGGCACATAGTAATACACAACACATACTCAAACATTTGAACCCAGACTTTGGCGTGGGGAGGGCAGAATTTCAAGGGCTACAAGATGAGATACATAGTCCTATATAAATTGTGGAAGGAAGGGGACGAAAAAAATCGATTTTGTGACCGCGGCACTTAGCACCTAAGCGCCGTCCGCATATAGATAGGCATATACAAGCACAATCACACCTATGTCGAGATCACCATACCGCAGTCAGAAGAAGATGCAAATGCACCTGGTGGGAGGACGGAATGGCTGTCAAAACGATTTCCCATGTCTGCCATCCCTCACGTCTGTATGGGGCGCATATCATCAGCTTCATCGACACTCAATCTATACATTGCATTCCCGAGGATGATTCATGAGCACCCAACAAACGGTCGGAGAATCACTCTGATGCCAAAGGAGGTCTTGGATATATTCTGGGATAGGGTACTGCTTCCATCGATTGGACAGTGCACCGATGTCAGCTGGGCGCCCTACCTGAAACACACATTGGAGGAGGCGCGTTACAAGGCCAGAGGTGCGGACGGGAGGAGGGGTGGATGGGGACCTCCTAAGACCATTCCCCTTTCAGATGATGACTTTTTGGATGTGCAGAAACGCATGGAAGCTCGCATACGTGATGGAGGACCTGAGCTCAGCATGTATGGGTCATCTTTCTTCATTCTGGAAGGAAAGGGAATCAAGCTACTCACAAAGGATGGCCAGAGAGGGCGTTTCTCAGGACCGGAAGAGGCCCTGCGTCGCAACCTGTCTGACCTTGACTGGGAATACATGATGAGCCGGAGTCATGGTGAACTGTTGGTAGATGTGGGAGTCTCATTCACGCCCCACTCTCCGAACGTCCCACTCGTAGGAGTGTGGCGCTTAGACGCGCTGGAAGCATCATTTGGAACAGGAGGCTACAAAAGAGGGGAGATACATCATCACAACACGCTGTCTAGATATGGAGCGCTGCAGGCCGAGATGCAACAGGAGAGATCCCAGCAGACGCACATCGCATTCAGGAGCACCTACAACCTATACTATGAGTCCGATTCGAACGAACAGCAACCAAGTGAATTTCGCATCCGACAGTGACGCCTATAAGCTGTCCCCATCATACATGGCTGAATGCACCGAAATCGCCAAGGTCGTCGAGGGTTGCAAGGAGAAAACATATGGTGTCAGGGATGAGTATAGGGTGAGCGGACATGCAGCCAGAATCATCCTGGAAAATGTGGAAGAGAAGGTCAGTGACACACACTCCAATCATCATCGACTGTAGAATGACTTGGGCGATTCTTGTCATGCAGGCCAGAGAATACCTGAAATCAGATCCAGTCCTGTGGATCCCATCCTAAGATCTGGTTCGAGCTTCTGAGGAGACGGGTACGGGAGATTCAGAGGACCCAGATATCCATCGTCAAAAAGAATCCACCAAATCTTGGCGTTCTCACTGGAGTGCTCAACCACATGCTTCGCTCTACCACATCAACTCCTATCGTCTACGACTCTCATGTCCGCGAATCTCTTGCCCTCCTCGAGTACAGAAACATCCTCGAAACCGCAGGAATGTTTTTCTTGCAGGACTTCGATATCAATAGCGACACCTGCCTGGATGAGGTGCAGCAAATTGATGACGTGCATGTACTGGCCCTCATGGGCGTAAATGCAAAGGCTCAAAGGGACCGGGCAGTGAGAAGAATGGACGCATGGCAAAGCACCGAGTCGGAACTGGAGGATTATCCTCTTGGTCGCACACCAACATGGACTCGACTCAAGGCAGCCATTGCCAACTCGCCTGCAATGATCATGAGACCCTGGATGTGGTCGCCCAGATTATCCGACACTCAACTCTCCGTCGGACGTTTGGTGGTCATGTTCACCAGGCACATGTGGTTGATGCTCACGCCCGAAATCTTCAAGGGCATCAGACCCCATCCAAACTCACTTCAGGAGGCCATGAAGTGCTGGACGATCACTAGCATCGATGACACTCTTGCTGCAGTCACATTCGAAGCATGCAATGCCGGACTGCATGACAGTATGGGCATCACTCCTGGTCGCATGGGCCCGAAGTCGAGGCCCTTCCTGGACAGGTGCACTCTGTTCTTTCCCGACCCTGATGCCGCCCATAAGGACAATACTCAGTGGTCTGGGCTGTGGGAGGGAGATGGATACATCGCAGAATTTCACAGGACGATGAAGGCAATGGATGAGGATCAGCAAGAGTTGCTGAAACAAGGATTACGCGAGGTATTTTCGGATCTTCACTGTCTTCCTGCGAGCGGTGCAAGAGTGTGGATGCAAAAGAACAATGCCATTGTGTTCATGACTAATCCCACATTCTACAAGATTGATTGTATTGGAAGGGGAGGCGAGAGTCAGAAGAGGGCCCCAAGAGCACGCCGCACGATGAAGCTGATCAAGGGTAAACGCATATTTGCAGCTGACCTCATGGACTCTCAACCCTTCGACGCTGATGGCAATCTGCGGAGAAAGACAGAGAGACAGAAGCGGCGGGAAATTCAGAAGAAAATGACCATGGCCAAGAAAAACAAGAGAGTCCCCCCTCCACCACGTTCACAGAGACCATTTCCCATGACCCCACTGGAAGATATTGCGGAATGAGCGATGGATGTGGATGTACTGTATTGATAATTTTTGTGAATAGCACCTTGGCCCCACCATTGCACGAACTTGGGAACGCAAAACCGCTGTCCAAGTGCTCATATACCAGATGAACCTGAATGGCAGCTAATGGTTTCATTCTTTGGCGTGACAATCCCAGATAGATTCAGAACTGCTGCCACATGCAATACAACTCAATTGCAAGGCAACCATGGCCCCCTTTGTCGTTGGCTTGCGGGCATGAAGCACAGGATGCAAACCTGTGAATGTTAACCGCTTCCATTAGTCCACCCCCTGCCTATGAAGAGCACGATTTCATAGATCAGGGTGCTGTCAGTGGCGACGATCCAAACTAACCTAACTAACCTAATGCCATCCATTTTTCATCAACACAATTTTATTTCAAACCTTGGGACCCTAGCATGAAGCGCAGGATGCAAACCCATGAATGTTACCTGCTTCCATTAGTCCACCCCCTGCCTACGAAGAGCACGATTTCGTAGATCAGGGTGCCGTCAGGGGCGACGATCCAAACTAACCTAACTAACCTAATGCCATCCATTTTTCATCAACACAATTTTATTTCAAACCTTGGGACCCTAGCATGAAGCGCAGGATGCAAACCCGTGAATGTTACCCGCTTCCGTTAGTCCACCCCCTGCCTATGAAGAGCACGATTTCATAGATCAGGGTACCGTTGGTTGAGCCATCAGAGTCTTCATCGGCATGGTAGACCCCTGTGAGGGACGAGTTACTACTGAGCAAGTGAAAACCGCTGCCAGGTGCCAGAGCGAAACATACATTCCAATAACGTGCATCGCCTGAGTTTCCACAGCTTAGGGTGACCACTATGCATGGGAGGTAATGCTCTTCTACCCTCTGCATCGGATGCACGGCTAATAATTGAAGGTCGGATAGACATGAAGGTTAATGTGGAAACCAGGACGATATACAGAAGGTCGAGCGGCCAAAGAAAATGGGTCTCCCAGTGTTGGAGCGATGATCTGTCTTGTATAAATAAGAATGATCGGATCAGCAGATCAGCAAACAATGGGGTTGCAAGATACAAGCACCAGGATAATGTCATGTCATACCTAGGATCGATTAACAGATTCGTGCGGACCCTAATCATGTCAAGGCCCAAGTTTCATGGAGCTGAACAATGGGATGGAATGGATAAAGAAATTCGGAGGCTATGAAGACAGGGACAGTAAAGTGACGGGAATATGATGTGTGGACTCTAGGATGCTGGGGCAATCTCAGACTTGAGTACAGCACATACATACAGTCTGCTGGAGGAACACAATGTCAGCGACATTCAAGAGGAAATCATGAAGTCCAAGATTCTGGACTGGGATTGTGGGTCCAAACAGGGATCATGTTGAAACAAATAAAGGACGACAGGGCAGGCCAAGAAAGCGAGTTGTGCAGCGTCATGGGTACATTTGCTTGACCCCTATGTTCATGTTCATGACACTTGCAGGTAGCAAGCAGAAGGTAGATTTTGCGACTATTCAGGTGGACACATCCACTGGCAATGTCCAGAATTCCGGTGGAAAATGTATCATATGTGCTACCACAAGTCCAGTACCTGATCATTTGCCAGCCCAAGCGGATGTGGTGCACCACGTCCCCACTAATGAAGCAATCAGCACTGCACACGATATATTTGAAGAGGATGAGATTCACGAGGAGGAAGACAGATTTGATATGCTACAGTGAATCGTGAACTCCGGCATCCTGGATTGGAATCCCCAGGAATCATGGACTGTGAAGCATAGAACGCCTCATAGGCCACATATGGATCGACATATCAAGGAACGGTCGACATTGATAGAAGGCAGCAGAATGGCTGAGCAGGAGGACGATACACAACAGGATAAGCTACGTCGGCCACGCAGACAACTACCAAAGAAAGGAATTTCACGTTGCCAGTCCCAGAATTGTACCTCTATTGTCTTGTAAATTACACTCGACCACGGGCAGCAAACACAATACACGAAATTTCATGAATCACAATAGTGTCAGATGTGTCGTTCACACGACAAGTAACCCATGCCAGCAAGAATCTCCGGATGATGTGGATGGAATATACTGTGGGGTGGTAATAGCACCTCCATCCCTGCCGGTGCGCACAAAGTGAACGACCAACCTACGACAGCTGACAATACCAGCAAAGAGGAAGCCATCCTTAAAAACCAAGTAGTTCACCATACTTGAACAGTCATCAAATGGTTATACTTCAACCTGGCCCTTATAAAGCATACAGAATCTCACTACAGTATATAGGGCAGATCACACAACAGAACATATAGATATGCCAGAATACCATGACAATAGTTCCAGCCTCCTCTCACTTACTATGACCATAGGAACATATCTGTGGCTTCTATGTCTGTAAATTTGCGATGTACTATACCTATACTGGTGATACCAGATGTCTCTATCATAGCGTCCCAGCCAAAGATCGATTTTTCAGCCTCTATACGACTTGCCTGGCTTCAGGTAAGACTCATTCTAGAGGGCATTTGACCATCTGAACACGTTGGTCGAGCCGGACTTCGCTCTAAACATCATGTTCCAAAGATGTCCACCCATGCCATGCTCCCCCACCCAAAGATCGATCTTTTCAGCCATCATATGGCTTGCTTATCTTTAAGTAGGACTCGTTCTAGATGTTATTGGACCATACAAACACGTTGGTGATGCCAGATTTGCCTCTAAAAATCATGTTCCAAAGTTGACCACCACCCCTATCATGCTCCCTCACCCAAAGATCGATTTTTTCAGCCTTCATATGGCTTGCTTGGCTGTAGCTAGGACTCATTATAGAGGTTATTGGACCATCTGAACACGTTGGTCGAGCCGGATTTCGCTTTCAAAATCATGTTCCAAAGATGTCCACCCATGCCATGCTCCCCCACCCAAAGATCGATTTTTTCAGCCTTCATATGGCTTGCTTGTCTTTATGTAGGACTCATTCTAGAGGTTATTGGACCATACAAAGACGTTGGTCGAGCCGGATTTGGCTCTAAAAACCATGTTCCAAAGTTGGCTGCCCCTGTCATCCACCCCCACCCAAAGATCGATTTTTTCAGCCTTCATATGGCTTGCATATCTTTAGATAGGACTCATTCCAGAGGTTATCGGACCATACAAAGACGTTGGTCGAGCCGGATTTGGCTCTAAAAATCATGTTCCAAAGTTGTCCACCCAGGTCATGCTCCCCCACCCAAAGATCGATTTTTTCAGCCTTCATATGGCTTGCTTGGCTTTAGGTAGGACTCGTTCTAGAGGTTATTTGACCATCTGAACACGTTGGTCGAGCCGGATTTCGCTCTAAAAATCATGTTCCAAAGTTGTCCACCCAGGTCATGCTGCCCCACCCAAAGATCGATTTTTCTAGACTTCATATGACTAGCCTGTCCTTCAAAAGCATTTTTCCTGGGGGCTATTGAGCCCTCTGAACACGATGGTAAAGCCAGAATTGCCTGGAAAAATCGTGTTCCTGAGATATACAAGGTCCTCCTCCTCCTCCTGACCTCATGTATGTCACTATCCCGGTATTTCACCTCAATACCGATACTGCAAACATTGATCCTAAGGTATTTGAGGCCTGTGAATCGATTGGGAATGGTCCCAGACCTTCCGGAGGTCAGCATTATTGTGATATGGGAGGTTGGCTCAAATATCGGTATTTTGAACATATCTCTACAATCCAACCGCCATTTTTCTTAATTGTTGGCTCATATCCATCCTATCGATACCCTCTATGATATGTACCAGCCCACCAAAAGATATTTTTTCACAAGTTTGAAACCTATTTCTATTTTGACCCTATAAGTCCTGGAAGGCCATTTCCAATAAGCAACAGGTAGTATAGACTGGTAAAAAGTCAATCCTAGGTAATCCTAGGAGAGCCCATAACACAGCAATGCGTGGTCGTCTGCGTGCTCTCGATCGTGAAGATATCGATTGCCTGCTTCGCCTTGTAAGGCAGAATCCTGACTATTTTTTAAATGAGCTCATGCACCTCCTCGCGACAAACCAATTCATATCTGTCCATTTCACGACAATCTTCCGCGAGCTCGAACGTGCTGATGTGAGCTACAAGAAACTCAAGCGCATTGCCAATGAACGCAACGAGACTCTCCGTGCTGCGTTCATCGCACGCATGGCTCAGTATGATCCATCAGAGTTGGGATTTATTGACGAGACGTCAAAAGATGAGCGGACACCTGGTAGACGTCCATGTAGTAGGGATTATTAGTCACAGATTTTAGTTCCACGCTTTCGCTTTTTGGACATGGTCGGAGGTGGTGTAAGGATCTTCATGGGCTGGGACTGCTCAAGCTCGTCATCTTCGCCGTCGTCATCAGAGTCAGGTTCCTCTTCCTCCGAAAGTTCTTTCATTCGAATATCATCCTCATCGGACCCATTGGAATCAAGGTCACTGTCATGCTCTAGCAGGCTCTTGTGTTTTTTGGAGGCAGGAATAGTTATAAACGGCATGATGATAATGAATTACAGGGGACGCGAGTGTACAATGAGCAAAATTTCACTAAGTCTAACATTTCCTAATTGAATGAAAATTTCACGCCGGTGCCATCCTTTATGCAAAGAGCTGTAATAGAGAAAGAACGACTGTCTTCAGGTCTGTCGAAGGGAGACTAACGTCGATACGCACTTCCTCTCCGCTTCGCATGTTTCTTCAGTATATTTCCAATTCGATGTCTTCAATATGTTTGCAGGTGGTGTAGTATGCTATCATCGCTTCCTGTATTCCAACTCCTGCACTGCTCAAATTCTGACGTAGACTCCTTTGTCCCCTCCAGAAGTTCGGTGCCAGTGCCCTACCTAGGATGAACATGTTATTTACGAGGATGTCCGATGGACTCGTATCATGGCCCCGCACATTACGACAGTCTCGCAGCTTATATTTCCCTCTTGGATTCCGGCCAAGGGGCAGGATTTGGTAAATTCATACGCCTTTGATCACATGGATGTTGGCTGTAACACTTCTTGTATCGTCAGATACAACTTGCATGTAGACCATAGGATATAGAGGAATTTCACCTTGACGGTTTCGACTCGACATGACAGCATATAATCGTACACGTCCGTCTATCACATTTTTATGGCTTTCAGGTATATTTGACAGGATTTCTTGCTGCGCTTCCTTATGAGTTCACTTCCGTTTTTCGAGAACACAGCTTGGTATATCCAATGGGCATGTCCCATGAGTGGTCTGATTCAAGAGATTGTGATAGATATGAGCGTAGATCACTCGAGTCTCGAGAGGCGTGAGGCAAAAGCAACTGGCGCCTACATAGCAAGGTGGCGCAGGGCGTACTAGTAACTATGAGTCGCACCCGAAGAAGAGCTGAAAGCTAGCGATTTATTTCCAGAATCCAGCCATCATTTTACATAACTGGTGAGCTCGATCCTTACATGTATAAGTACTACTCTTCAAAGCCTCTTACAGCCCACCTTCTCGTGATACTACCATTCCCTCCACCCGGGTGCCATGTCCCTCCGTTTTCTTCAACACGATCGGTCTACATAGTATAGACAAATCAAAGCGTCTATCGGGTAAGACTGCGACTGCCTACCGATCTGTGGTGATCGGAGTGATGACTGCGCTACTTCTCCCACCATTCTGGTGGACTTGGAGTTGGTGAACTTGCGGTAGGGTCTTGGAGGTGCGTGTACTCGCCGTTCCTATATTGCTGTGCAGCGATAAACTGCCCCATGTCTCATTAACTACCAACTGTACTTCACGCTCATGGACTTGGAGTCACCGGCAGTGCATTACAGATTCGCGTTTACATTCCATGTGAGCAAAAAGTGCAAGAGCTGACATGGACCAGCTCTAGTTGATCCCAGTGCCATCGGGGGGCATTTGCAGCTACGATATTTCATCTAAATCAACAAGGGCTTCGCTGCTTAACTAACCCAAAACCTACAACTACTAGCGATACCGATCAGCAGTCATAGCACACACAAAGCTCGCAAGTGCACTGGCTGTTATCTAGCAAAGAATAGATACTACTCAGAGCCTGAATCTCTTCACAGCGCAGCGCTTAGCGACCTGCCACCCAAGAAGCGCACATGTTCTTCTCATTCCACGCCCAGCTCATCCTCAAACTCAACCCCAAGCACAGGAAACGCAAATTAGATAAAGATAATGCTGAGGAAGGAGGCTATGGCGGGAGAAATGTAGACTTGAAGGACAGGCAGCAAGTCGTAGGTCGTGTTTTTGTTCTTGTGGATGAACATGGTCATGGTTCGGACAACAGTTCAGGAACGTTACAACGTCTTCTGCAAAACTAGCAAATTGACCGGGGAAACTTTCGGGATCAAGGGTTTCATCGTTCATGTGTTTGAGTGGGGGTTGTTGGCCTCTCCACGTGCGTCGTCGGTCCATCAAGTTAGGATTAACGAGTATTTCTCGAGGTTGACGTGAAATCTTCCGAGGGAACAATGTGGCTGCATTCTCGCGAAATAGAAACAATAATTTTGTGAGGCGCTCTCGTAGTCGAAAAGCGGAAGACGAGATTCCAATGAAACTGCCGAGTTGGCGAGTAGCACCAGCGAAGTTGCGCAGCTACATGGGTGATGAGCGTCAAAGTCGTGGAAGCCCACCTCTACACACCTCTTTGCCAAGATTGTCGACTCGCCTATGAGAATCGGTCGGTACAAATAGACGAAACAACGAACATGCTTCTTACTTCTCAAATTTGTTGAATGATTCTGATCCTGCGACCTGCAGTTTTTCATCCACGATAGCTGAAAGGCAAATGAGGCCACGATTGCGTGATGCGCTCACGAACACTCACGAACGTCTCGGTCATCTTCGAAGTTCGAAGGGAGGTTGGTATCGGAAATTGTACTATTAGCGGTACACGAGGCCAATATGGGATGACTGACCGCTGTCTGAAGAAACTTCGTTGCTAAGCTCGCTCAGGACATCCAAGAGACTAACAGCTCAGGACTTATCACTGTGTCGTGTTCAACCGATACGTTTCCCCGTGACTGATCCCTCAATCGCGTCGCAGAACTGGCCTTGATTTCTTCACCTCGACTCTACTACATGTCGCAGCTCGTGAAATTCGTGGCTCGCCCTGTACCAGTGATGACATATGGTATGCGGTTCACGATCCCTCAAGACATTGCATCAGAGAACAGGTGAGCCGCAGATATTGTCATATGATATAAAGTCATATATAGTTTCGCGTTTCGTCACATTGGAATATCAAGCAATATATGATCATGTAAAACCACTGCAATCTATATGATCGTTAGCAAGAACTCACCGGTACACTGATGTTAGATGCGAGACCATCGTGAGACTAGTCGCGGCTGCGCTACTGGATTCCAACAAGGAGAATCAGACGGCAGATGACGCTCTAACTCGTATGCTGCCAGTTCCATTGCGACAAAGACCAGCGGCCAAAGTTGTCAAAAGAATTGTGTCGCGGGGACCCAATTATGCAAGGAAGGAAGAGTTGAAATCGTTTATGACTTGTATATTTATCTGCGGCCCAAAAAGATATGCTTGCGATTGCCTATGTAATCGGAGCATCCACTATAGCTTCAAGTTGACAATGACAAACCTGTCCGCCAAACCAGCGGCTAGTCGAAGACATCATATCATTCACGAGTGATGCAGCACCAGATCCAAAAAAACAGCAAGACATTCTACACGAAACGTACAAGATAACGCGCTAACTCTGCGAAATAGCTTTTATCATCTCCGACCCAATCGCACCCGCCTCCTCAAACCTACTCTCAAAAAACGATGCGGTCTCCAAAAACCTCCGTTTATACAACTCCAAGCTCCCAAAGGACACGCACTGACTCCACCCCCTCGCAGCAATAACAAACTCTAAATCATCCGAGCGATGGGTGACGTCATATACAGCTGAGCGAATGGCAGCGTCTAGTCGTTCGGTGGAACGGAATAGGTATTCTGCGACGCCGATCCACATCCTGAATATGGGTGTTGCTGCTAGGTCGAGGTGGTCGAAAGGCTGGATCTGGAGGTGGGCCCAGCAGTCTACCATTGCGAGGAGTGCGAGTTGGCTGTTCGCACGGGGTGCGGTTGTGCCTGTCGGACTTAACCTGCCGTTCAGCTTCGGGTTGCCGCCGATCGTAAACTGATCCAGAACATCTTCAGTAAGGAAAATGGGAGCGCGTTCTGTTTTGACGGTCCCAAAGACCTGTTCGCGTGCCTGATAAATACGCGTGCGGAGGCCTTCTTCGTCGCCTGCGAGCATGAGTTTGAAGAGAGCGCTTGCGGAGGAAGCGTATTGGTCGATCTGGATGCGGGCGGAGGGGTTTAGGATTGCGAGGCCTGCGTATACGTGCCATTTGTTTGAGTAGATACGGAGCATGATGTTTACTTTGACTGTTTCTATTCCGCCGACGTATTGGCCTTGTTCCCAGGGATAGGAGCGCTGGCTTGCCCAGGCTGTGCCCATGCTGTGATGAAAGTGAGTGAGATGACAAGTGGATCTGGGGTGGGTCGTACGTGAGGAAGGCAGCGTGGGTGACCGCTTGGACATTGGCGGTAACTAGGTCGTGGTCTTCGTATGTCAAATAGACGAAGCGAGAGCGGAAGCAACGAAAGATGCTTTCGACGACATGAAGGGCCGAGTCTGGAGCGCGGTGTTGTATGAGAACCTGTGATAGATAACGTGATGAGGTTTGTCAGTACATAAGTCGGAGGAAAGAAAGTACCAGGGGCTGGCCCTCAGGGGAAACGGTCGGACCATGAAGAGAATGCAGGGACACGATGTGGACGTCTTGAGGGAGGTACTTTTCAAAAGCGTCTTTCTCGGGAGCTTTGACGGATGTTTGACCAGAGACGATAGCGCCTACTTTGGTTGCTATGAAAACATTCGCACGAAGGTCAGGTTAGGAGTGGTGTGGAGATGTGTGAATGCGTACATGGACCATACTGTGCGACTACACGGTCTATGTACTCGGCTTCCACGGAGTACATTATGAAGTCTGAAATTCGCGAAACGGCATGTCCATCTTCGTGGACTGTAATTCCAGGTACGTTTGCATATTGGAGCTTCAAGGAGTCGAATTTCTCCGGAATATCGCAAACGCTGATTCTTTGGGAGGATAAATATAAGAGATGAACGCAAATAGATAAGGAAATGAAGGTACTTTTTCCAGCCTGCGTTTGAGAGATGAGTTGCGTACATAGCGCCCATTGCACCCATCCCGATCAAACCGATGGTGGGATGTTGGTCTACGGGGTCATTTGGAGAGAGATTCGTGCGAAGCATATCGAGGGTCGAGAGAGAGAGGAATACCGAGAAGAAGTTGAAGAAGGAGATTGAAATACTTGCCTAGATCCGAAGGGCATTAATGAGCTAGTAGACGTAAGTTAGGCTAAGGCGCAAGTGAGCTAGTGACTTGACTGGCTATGTTATGCTAGTGTACAGGGCGTGGGAGAGCGTCAAGTCGTTAACGACCGATATCAATATCACTAGTCTGACTAGCGTATCACCAGTACTACTTGCCATAGAACAGGTAGACCCCAGGTTAAGTATTAGCCTAAACTACGTGAAATAGTATTGAAACTGGAAATGAGCTGACATAATACTAATAGGACCACCTGAATTTCAATAGAGCTAATCGTAAGTTCCGATAGTCTAACTTCCCTGAAACCCACGTTCGATTATAATAAATCTTATATTTATAACATACTATTCGTTCCATCCGACGGTTGACCATTTCCCACATACTCTCCTTCTAAATATCAACGAGCACACCCTCTTTTTTTGATTCGATCAATCGACAGCTCACCTTGACTCTCAAACGGATTTCAGCGGATCGACCTCTCCGTAATCTTAATTCTAGCTTCGCGCCCATCTATCAGACTTCTCTACGTACTTTGTTGTACCTCTGTTTGCTTCATCTTAAACTCAGTTAGCGCCTAACCAACTTTTTCTCTTTTCCTGCTTGCACCCAGATCTACTGAGTTCTTGTGTATCATGTGCGTATCTTTATTTTATAATCCAAACTCTAGATCTTCATGTTTTTTTTGTGAAAAAAATAATACAGGCTGGTCATCCTACTCATTTGATCGGTTTACTTTTCACTTGCCGTTTCATCTCCACCATCTATTGATCCGCAACAATATGGTCCAGTCCTCTCCCACTCAACGCGAACGTGCCGAGTTCCACTCTACCACCCACCACCCATACGTCCACGAACGCCTCCCTTCTTCCCCTCCACCACCTTTTTATGCCCAATCTCCCCAATTAAATGCTTCTTCCCACTCCTTGCGCATACCCTCATCACGACACCCTCACTTACCCCACAATGTTCCATATCACATCCATCCATCCCCTCATGATCCTAGCGCCCAGTCCAGTCCCCTAACTTCCCCCTCTTCCGCACACGGTGGCAGCAGCCATTTTGCTGACTCACAATCATCATTCACATCAGAATCTGCCAGCCCAGATCCTTCTGCCTCCCGCTCACCATACGATCTCCCAAATAGGATCTCTCCCCCAACATTTTTCGGTACCCCCCCATCTCCGGCCCCTAACGCCCGTTCGAGATCGATTACCGAATCTGATCTCCGTCTTCCAACGCATGATGTCACTCGCACATCCGTCTCCAGATATCCCCCATCTTCTGCACGTCCGCGCACTGCACCTTCTCCTACTCCGATTAACCTCGACAACCCTGATTCACTGGGTATCAAGTTCCTCCTCAGCAAGCCTGCTCAACCGTCCCCTTCGCGTGTATCACTACAGTCAGACCCAGAGGCAACGTGGCGCACAACCCCTCGCAAGTCGAGACCACATCCACCTGAACTCGACGTCTCAGCGTCCCCCTCACCTGCACACTCCCATCCAGATCTCTCTACGAGGGCCTCATCGACTGTCGTTAGCAGCCTTAATTCGCCTTCTGTCAGTTCAATGCCTCCGCAGAAGAAGCAGCGAAATGTATTGCGTAGAAAACCCTCTGCAAAGGTCAAAGAAAAATTGCAGCGAGAATTTGAAAAAAGACAGGACCCCAGCCCTGCCTCCCCTTCGTCTCCTACCCGCGCATCTCTGTCCAACTCGCGAGACTGGCCATTAACCCCTGCAAGAACTGTTGTACATGTGTACAAGCACCAAGAGCAGCCCATGGAAGGAGCTGGGAATGATACCGTCCCGCCCTCTCCAACTCCATATTATACCGTCTACGGAACGCAGTCGGAGCGCAAAATCACTGCGGGCGGGCCTGATGATAGCGATTGGTCTTTGCATGCCCATGTTCTTGCTGAACAGCGTGCACAGGCCGAACCGAGCAGAAGCTTGTCAAGGAAAGGAAGCCTTTCGAGAAAAGTATCGAGCAGATGGAAGAAAGCGACAGGTGGAGGTGTTGAATCTCCCTCCAACAGCCGACCAAGTTTACAAGACGTCTACTCCTCCAGCCATCTCAGACAATCATTGGATCCAGGGGTGTTTGGTAGACACACGCGCTCAGTGACAGACCCACAGAACAAGACCAAGGAGAAGGAGTCAGCGCAAGGTTCTAGTTCTAAGATCTGGAAGTTGATGAAGCGGATCAGCACTGGGGGGCTGCGCGAGCGCTTCCAAGTTGATACAGCCGCACCGCCTGTACCCGCCATCCCTAAAGAGTTACTCAACAGCCCGCCTCCTATACGCAAAGACCCGCAAGCTACGTCACCAAACCCTTACAGCGCATCTAAGCCGAAGAGCATTGCTGGCTCTGGTTCGGGCCCACGACCAAGCATGGCAACGTCCTCGTCCTCGCCTAATTCAAGCGACGTGGCTTCTGGGAGTTTCTTCCACGCGTCACACTCGCGGGGATCGTCGGTGTCCTCGTATGGGGAAGAGACTGCATCCGCACTCTTTCCTAGTATGGGGGATCGTCGTACACATATCGTTTCGGGTGACGGGACGAAAGATCAGGGTCTGTTGTCATCTTCTAGCAGTCGAAGTTATTCCGGGCACACTACGCCCATCGCAAATGATCAGCGCCAGGAAACCAAATCCCCGCGATGTACACCTATCCCAATATCCCAGATCACGCATCCCATTCATTCATCAACGTCGCTCAGAAGACACAAACACGAGAAGCCGCCTACACCCGCCCACACTCATTCACGTTCACTTTTCAATGGCGATGGCAGCACCCCGGTTTCAGCACCATCACGGCCTTCTCTAAGTATGATGCCGAGCAGGTCTTCGCAGAGCGAAAAATCACCTGCTCGTTCCGCGTTTGTAATTAATGACGAAGCATCTTTTCGAGCGTCTCTCAGAGCGCCTAGTGAAGCGTCTACTGCTAGGATGCGGCCGTGGTCCAATTCCACGACATCTACAGCCAAGATACGACCCTGGTCCAATTCAACGAATTGTACACGCAAAGATAAAGACCCATCGACATCAACGTCGAACTTAACCTTGACCTCGCAGTCCCGATCTCCTATCAACTACCGCGCACTCAACGCTCCACGCAAACCGCCCCTCACAGAACGCGAAAAGGCTGAGATCTGGGATAATCTACTTGAGAGGAGTGATCTGGCGGGAGGGACGTTGCATATTGGTGGTGGGAGTGGGGAGCTTGAGTCGGATCATTTGAGGTTTTCGGGGTATTCTGAGGTAGAGGTTGAAGTTGAGGAGGGGTGTTCGGAGGCTGTTGAGGTTGAGGAGGGGGTTTGATGAGACGTGTTCATGCTCATTGCAATGATATACCCAACACACACATGTATACCTTTGCTATGTTATGTTTTTAATTTAAAGGATGGGTAATTGTAACGGGGCTTTGAGGAGGTTGTTTACCTATAGCTGGCAACCACCGAGCATCCAAGCAGCTAAGATCACGTTCAGCATTCGCCTGACAGCGCTCTCTACTGTCTATATATTCCCATCTTTGTTCTTTCAGTCCTTTCAACCTATCGTTCTTAAGTGTTTTCACCCGATGACTGATCCGAAAATAAACTTCTTCAAACGATTTGAAGAGGCTTGTCTCCGGATCAGTAGATGTCACACCAACAGATCTGGAACGCAGACGCAGTTTGCCATCGATGGTCACCGGAGTATGCTCAGCGGCCTCCAAGATTGTAAGCTTAGTGAGTCATCGAATTGCACTTTTCGCGACTGGAGCGTAGTGAGTCCTTTCAGTTGTGTGCTCCAGCATACATGCAGTATCGATGGCAGCATTCTCATCGAATGGTCGGCTTAGCCTTATTGCTACTGATGGCTGAGAAAATACGATCTTTCTGTGAGATATCTTGCAGGACTCTACAAAAAATGTCGTCTTGCCCCAACATCCAATCTCACGATTTCAGGACCAAGTAATGAATTTGGTTCCTGTCTAGTATCACAGCTCATATAGATCTTCGTCAAGCTGCCAGCAGGCTCCGATTCTCCTGTGGTGTCTTCTACATCCGACCGTAAACCCGCGCGCGTGACACAGGTACCTCACATTCCCTATCTTTGCTCCTCCAAGAACACTCCGAAATCTGGTAGCGTGATGTAGGCAGCCCCTTCGCTCTCTCTGTTTGGTATGAACGCGTTCTAATTATGATCACTAGGCGTCGCAAAATGGGACCCCAAGTATGAGCAGGTCCTGGTGGTGCCCAGCCTACTCTGCGGTTGTAGGCCTATAGTACGTCCCATTGTCTGTTAAATCTAAACAATAGTGTCGTCCGATATTAATACCTGATAAACGGGCTGAGCAAAAAATGTATAGGGATTGAAGAGTCTCAGGACAGGATTCAAACCATTGAGTGTTCAATATTTGTCTTCTAGCATGAATTCTTCGCCATCTGGGATGTACGCGTGGATTTCAACCATTCAGCCCATAGCAATCACACTTGCACGTACGGCAGTCGTCATGAACACGACCACAGGCGTCACAAATCAATTATACCCAAGCCCATCTCTTACTTCCGTTCCTTCTTTTTACTCTCCACCAGTCTCCGACATTCACAGCCAATTATGACTATGGACTGGGTCACTCTTGTCCAGAATATTTTTCAAGCTCATTGTTCTGCGTGAAATCCTCTCTATTTTGTTATGTACTTAGTAGCTGTGTTTGGGTCAAGCAAGGTACTTCCGACGCAGGCGGCGTTACTGAAATCATAATTGCCTGTGAAATGACTATCAGCCCAAGAGGGACGCGAGAGCTCAACATGCTCCTTCCCCAGATCATTGGCCGGCCGCCGCGTACTACGTTCTCATTATGAACATACCTACACGTACGATGAGCACGATGCAGAATCAAGGTCAAAACCTACACTCTGCGATTTATGTACCAACGTAATTCCCTCAAGGTTGTAACACCCTGTGTTAAACGTTGATGCCTTCGATGATCCCGATTTTGTGAGTGCATGATAACGCGTTGTTGACGGCTGTTGACGCGACTGTGGGATGACACGTCAACGTCACGCGCATGGCTTGACACTAGACACCAGAAACTCTCAGCTGACCTGAGCGGGCACCCAAATTACATCGTTCTCTCAACGCCTACCACTACATTTTTACTCCTCTGTCCTAATGGGCTCGATTCTCAGTCATACGTCGTTCGAATGGGCTGTTGCAGCCGGCATCGCAGGGGCTGCAGCCTATGGGTACCTCACGTACTCCAACTCAGGCGCACCTGGCAGTATCTCTGAACACGCAACCACTGGTGGAAAAAGTGCGAAAGCTAAGAAGAAGAAACAGACACCGAAGAATGCCGGTGTCTCAGAACCTTCTGAGAAGCCCGTGAGCACCACCATCTCTGCCACCTCTGCCACCACCGCCACAGTAACGTCCGCGCAAGGCGTTTCCGTGCCTGAACCTACCATCGTTCCATTTCCGCATGTTATCCCCGGCGAATTTAACGCCGTGCAACCTAGCTCGGACGACCAAGGTTTTGAGGCGAAAAAGGACAAGACGAAGAAGAAGCAAAAGAAGAAGCAGAAGCAGAAAGAAACGGGGGCGGTTCCTGATGTTGCATCTGAACGACGGACATCGCAGTCAGGCGGTGATACTCCCGGAACATCCTTTGATATCCCAAGCGGAATGTCCTCTCCTAAAGAGGAAGAGAAACTGCGCTCGTCTCAAATACGGTCTTCTTCTCCGTCATTTGATACTGATTCCTCGTGGACGCGGATAGACACCCGTCAGAGGACAGCACGAGGCGTCAAGACCACAGCTGCATCGGTACTTGCGATAACAACGGATATGACGAGCAGTGACGTGGGTCCGTCGACCGGCGATTCTTCAGTTGCCGAGGCTGCATCTGCTAGTGCGGACGCAGGCACCAGGGGAGATAACCGTCGAACGCTGGCTGAAAAGCTTCTGCCCAAACCGAGGAAGACCGCCGTCGATGAGTAAGTCAAATTCTTGCTTCTAGACCGTATGCTGATTGGCCCACCTGTTGATGTCAGTATGCTCGAACGCCCAGATTATCCTGGTTTAGCGCGTGTTATGCGTGTCCATCCTCGGGCCGATGAAGCGCCCGCACCAGGATTTTCCTGGAAGGATTATGAGGATGTGGATGACGGCAGTAATACATTAAATGATGCAGATGGGGAGGGCGAAGGCGAATGGGGCATTGTCAAGGGGAAGGGTCGTTCGAGTAATATAACCCTATTTTTTTGCTTTGCGCTGAAGCTAACGGCTTACCGCAGAAACTTCACGGCCCCCGACTACGTCCTCGCAGTCTGTACAAAAAGCCCCAGAGGGAGGACTAACACAGAAACAGCGGCAGAATGCAAGAAGAAATCAGCTGGTGAAAGCTGCTAAAGCAGACGCTGAGGCGGAGCGACAGGCAAACCTCACCGAACGTCAACGTGCTCGGGAGCGTGAGCAGATAATTGATCAATCACACCGCGGAGGAGGTAAGCAAACTAGCGGTGGCATGCAAGCTTTTGTCAATAGCCGGGGGAAGTTAGTATATGACTAGGGTAATTGCACCACCCGACTGCAGCAGTCTACATGAGACCATAGTGATCTGTCTGGAGACATTTACTTATGCTTAGGATAGGCTTAGTAGACTCGTGGTATTACTAGAATACAAATCTCGTAATTGTGTCGTGAAAGATGCTCAAAAAAAACGAGGCCGAAGCGGGGTATGCGATCGCCAATTGAAAGCGAAAAAGTCATGTCCGGCGTACCGGTAAACGAACCTGCGGAAGGTATTTCGCATACGAGAATGACCGCGTGGTGTGGAGTGTGAGCAGAATGAACAGAACTGGATGCCACCAATAATACGATCTGAATTAACCTATGAGCCGATAAAATGGACCAATGCCGGGAGAGCCTATCGCTCTGCAGGACCTTGTCTCCGATCTCTGTTATCCCCCCCTTCCCGCCCTACGGAAGGATCACCATAACGTCTGGATGATGATGATATGTGGTGTCCTGGTGACATTGATGGGCCTTCCATTGTGACGTTGGCCGAGCTGGACGTCGCAGCATGTTCCATTGCTTGAGGATGTCGCAAAGAAGTTCCACTGGGCCTTTCCAACTTTTTGGGGCCGGGCGCAGACGCTCGCCCAGGATTCTGAGCGTCTGCGCGTGGAAGTTTTTTGACTGGGGATCGGCGTTGTAGGGAGATGTGATTGAAGCTAGCGAGAGCGGAGACTGTCTGACAATAGTTGGGGACTTTGCATCTGAGGGATGGCGGAGATGAGATGGGCCCGCACTTTGTGGGACTGATTGAATATTCGAGGACGATGAAATGGAAGGTCCGTGACTCATTCCAGCGATATGAGGTGAGGAAGAGCCGGCATAAGATTGTGATTTTGCCGGGTCTTGAGTGAAAGAAGATGATGGGGGAACATTTCCCGGATACAAGACTTGACCCGCGGACGAATGACCAGAGTGGTACGAGGTTACGTTCTCTGAGGACGACGCCCCTGAGATATCAGGAGCGACTGAATACATGGGCACGTTGGCAGGGCCGCCTGCTAGGGGGAAAATGCGAGAGACCACAGATTCAAGGTGATCAAGCCTAGCCTTGAGTTCGTCGTATTCAGCCTTACTCCTAGCCTTGAGGTCGTCATATTCCGCCCGACTGACGTATTTGTCCCTGAAGATATATATGATCAAGGGTGTTCCAAGCTGAATATAGGTTACTTACACAGGCTCTAAAGTTCGCCATTGGCATTTTGACTGTTCACCACGTCTTGTACAAGGACCACACGGCTGCGCTCTAAAAATGCGGCGTCAAAACAGTACGGCGACACGGTGACATTACAACCGCCGACCTGTCACATTTAATCTTACGCCTTTTGCACTCTGTGGAGACCGCGTGATGTAGATAAAAACAGCCACGGCATCAACAAGGAGGCAAAAGATTGGTACCGATAACGATGAGCAACGAATTTGTAAATGTGTAAATATAATAAAAACTTACCATTACAACTCAGAGCTTGTCGTCGCCTTTTCTTTTTGGCAGGACCTTGCTGCTCTACTTCACCTTCTGGCTCAGAATCCATCATTTCCGAACGACTGTATAGGGCATGCTGGGAGGAAGGTGGTGGAATTTCGGTGGAGCCAGAAGGCCCTGAATAAGGGCTTGGGAGTGGATAAGTGTATGCGGATGAGTCTGAAGGGGGCAAATGTTGAGCCATGCCTGAAGGTGGGAGATAGGGGTGGAGTTGACGAATAGATGGTAAAGAAGGCTGCTGGTATGGAGCGATGGGGCGGGTCTGTGGTGAATTTGAGGAGGCCATTAAACGAGAAGGGGGATGATTGCGCCCTGGGTCGGGCAGCTGCCTGTTGTTGTCCATAGTCAAAATATTGAATCAGTAAAAGGCATGTAATTGGGGTAGAGGAATTAGGATCGACAGGGCATTTAATACGAACCGGAAAGAAGAGGAGATTTTAAACGGTTTCCTGTGACTAAAATGAAGCGCGAATGCGCAGGGTGGCTGTTCGGTTATATAAGGATAATTTGGATTAGTTAGTGGGTCACTAAGAAAAATTCCGGATAGTGACAGAAGCAGACCGGGCCTTGCGCCAATTGATCGGTGTGGTACAAGGCCTTAAGTGAGGTGACCTTGAAGAGGCTGCCCCTTACGATCAACCTGCTAAGCCTTTGATCGCTGATAATTTACGAGCTCAGCTCAGGTTCGAGTAAAGGTAACAAACTGAAACAAACCTTAGCTGAGTTCGCTAGTCTCCGCTATGCTCGGCTGTTAACCGGCTGAGTATTTGAACCTGCAGATAATGGTTTTGTCGGATGAAATCAATGAAAGAGTACAACTGAAATTACCTTGGGCTTAGTATCGGGACCTTTGAAGATAGCAAGTGTCGTTCCTACAAGGCACCAACACCCCCAAGAATTCAGTTCCGGTGATTTGCTAATGACAGTGTGGAATTAAGCTTTAGTACATTTTGATTTCGGCTCTTCCCGGGTCTTTAAGTGCCATGTCCGTCTATCTCCGGCTGTCACAGTACCATCCGAAGTCTATCTTTCAATTCAGTTCAACCACCCAAGTATACTTCTATCTGACCACTCTTAAGCTGCCACAATTGTGTTCCGTCCGATAGGCTCATTGTTCCCTCCTACCACCCGTATGAACCCAGCACTCGCGGGCATGTACCGCTCTTTCATGTCCGTACACCCGCGATTGCCGGAAAATACGGTCATCCGTCCAGTTCCACCGGATCATACATCCACTATGGAAGGTCTTTTATTACATATACACAGTTGCTGCGCGTCTATCCACAGTGCGCATCTCTCATCTCTTATCATATCCGAAAATCATCGTTAGCTGATTGCCTCGCGGCTGGCCTCTCTTCTTGACACATGACACCTCCTTCATACTCATATCAGCAGGTGCGTCGACCATGAGGCCTAAGACCTGAGGTTCAAGCCTCTTTGGTCATTGATCATCAACCTTGTGATGGGCCAAGTTTGCGCCCCATGTATATTTAGTAACAGTGGTTCCTCTTACAGTTTTGCATAATATCCGAAAGGACGCCCACATTTGTCTTTGGAGCAACCATACACAGCGCCATCATGTGTATTGTAAGTATGAGACCATCGATACCGCGAGCTATAGTTCCTACCAAGCTTTTCCCTCGGTTTTCAAAATATACCGTGTCTTCGAATTCGACTGAATAGCGCTACCACCACCTTCCTATGTAGTTATTTACAGCTGACGTCGTGCGGTCAATGATTCTCATGGTAACCGCTTCTCGTCCGTCTGTTATAATCGCGGAAAAAAACTCCAAACAAGAGTCTGTAAGCTGCTGGAAGATAAATTCCTAGTGAGATTTATGGCAGTGATATTATTATCCTCCGTCCATCTTCTCACTTTCCGCGAAAGCCTATCAATTTCAGAGGAAGCCACCCGGTCCACTGGAGGCCGCTAACTCCAGAGCGTCCCTTGTACCGTAATCTCCGGCATCATAGTCCCGACGCTGGTAGCGTCCGAATTTCATCAGGATGTTCTATTCTCATTGTCAACGGGTAAAAATTGCTGCGGTGTCGAGGGACAAAACCTTCCCCACAATCGTACGTTGCTTCACGTTAGCAACGACGTAAATACCAAGTAGGAAATCCCTAACGCCGCTTTTCGTCTGTGAGAAGAGTGACTGCAGATCGCCCGTCTCTATTCGCATCACGGTATTGACATCATGATCGCTTAAGGAGATATGTACTCCAATGAGAAGCTGTATCCACTTCTTCCATTCGCTTGTTACCCTGGATAGATTGTTATTCAAGCTGGTGCATGTGCCTTAACGCCGCGAGTATAGCAATCGAGTCATACTGCACGTTTTCTACAGCCCCTGCCGACCCACTAGTCTGGTATAAAATCGATGAAAGTGGTCGAGTCTGTGCCAATTCGATGTCAGTGTTTGATTGCACAATCTCACCTCGTGTAAAGCGTGCAGAAACAGCATGCATCAAACAGAACTTAGAGAGTTGCCTCGCTCCTTTATCTCCTTCACGACCAGCGCAGCTGCGCTTTTCAAATCAATAGGTTACGCTTGCTAGCTGATTTGCATTCAAGTTAACTCTCCGATCGGCCCGGATGTATTCAATCGACGTACGTTCATTGCAGTGCGCTGCTGTACGGTGATAAACCTAGTACACACGTTCATCATATCATACCGTCATGGTGACGTTTCGTCGCAGCTAGTCTTCGCTTGACCAAAGTGGGATCAGCCCATGAAAGACAAAGTTCAAGTTTTCACACATCATTCATAAGTAACATCAACATCAAAATGAAGTGGCCTTATCACCTCATCACGGCAAGCAAGCTGTGGGCGCCACTCCTCGCGTCGTCATTTGGATAAAGTAGTTGTCATTAAGACATATGATGCCTCCAAGCATGCGTAAAGAGTTGGCCAGTGCATGGATCCTGTCACCGGCGATCACGCGCCGCGGCGCTGCGGGCCTGCCTTCATCACAATTCATCCTCCAACCACCCCATGTCCGCAACACGAGCTAACACGAGTCCGTCTGCTTTGAAGTTACGAACCATATATTGTCCCTGCAACAAAGCTCTAAATCATCAGGAGAACATGCAGCGTCTATGTGGCAGTCAAATATCCGGACACACCATCCGAGAAATAGAGTTAAGATTTATATCGCCGACCCTGCCAGAATACTATAGTGCTCCCGTTAATCGAAATCTGTGGTGGAACGTCATTCAAGTCATCCGAGTCGGTTATTGAAAGGATTGAAAGCGACATAATTTATTTGCCCGACCCTCAGGCTGAGGAATCACCTCAATCCGAGGCAACTCATTCCGCGGTGGCGGCCACGTAGGCTTCGCGGCGTTCTTGCTCATGAAAGCGTAAGCCAGGGTAGACTTGCTCGGTGAACCTCTCTGCCGCTCAAACTAAGCAACTTGGCCTGTCCCGGCACCCTCTGCCGAGTCAACCGTCGTTCGCTTTCCTTCTTCTGATGACATTTCGGCCCCACCCATGTTAATGGACGTCTCCGGGAAGCTGGCAAAGTTGACGCCCGGTTCGTCTCTGCTGTCGATAATTAGACGGCCTAGATAAGCCTTTTTGAGGTATTTTTTTTACCATGAAAGTCCTGGCCCGAGAGTATCCGGTTCTAAGCATAGAGCAATCGGTAATATCATGCGCAACGCAACCCCTGGCGACAGCAAAATCATACCCGCAGTTGGGGAAATACACGCGTTTCCATGTTCGCTCTGGAATTGCACGAGATAACGCACAATTACAACTGTAAGGTTTGGTCCAGCAGAGTCCGACGATAATGTCGGTCGACTTGAATCGAAGGACATCGATCAAATGATTGTTACTCGCAAGCATATTGAAAGAGCTGCGGAAACGGTATTACTGCCGGGTAAGGTGCGTCAGTTGGGCAATGTACTTGATCCGGAAAGTACGCATGAAGGGGTGAGAGCATTGGATATTACTGAAGACGGAATAGGGTGTGCCATTGTGTAGGCGATAAAGGACCGTTTCTCCGATGCGGAGGGGGAACGCCCACGGTCGTGTTGAGGCCTTTCGATCAATCCAATAGCCTGGTGTGCGAATTGACTCGACACCACCTGTCCCGCCCCTGGATTCCTCCGGCAGGAGCTACCCAGAGCGCCTGTACCCCTGAACCATCCTGTATGGTAACGTGAGTGCGTGCGCTGGTCCAGTTCTAGATTATATTTTCATAAATGCGCACTCTGAAAAACCAGACGCATTATCACCCATAAGCAACATACCGGAACTCACCCATCATTAGGGTAAGACAGGGCAGGTTAATCTAACCTCTTGAAGGTCCAAGACACCCTTGGCCGCCAAGATTTTGGTAGGTGTAGGAGGGACTATAATGGGTATGTGATTAGGGTTCAAGTTGTCGTGACCAGTTGACATGTCAGATAAAGCCCCGGAGAAAACGCAGGAACTTCATGCAACATGATCAACTCGTTGATTACGAGCCTTTTTGCAAATGAAGCAAGGCGTTTGAGCGGCAGGCCTGGATGCTTGAACGCGTACACAACCCATTCAGTAGCATCCAGGCCGTTCTGGAAAGAGGGGAAGACAAACTGACAAAACGGTTGCTTGATCGTGGCAAAAATAGCACAGAGTACCTTAGCTAAGTACGCATTATTAACCTGCAAAGTGCACAGTAGTCAGAAGCAATAAGCGGGAATGATACGCGAGAATAGCTTCAGTGTGGTTTTGATACTGAACAGCAACTCAACAGGACATTTTTATTTGCCGTAACGAAACTAGACGGAGACAAACTTGACATTGTCCCAGCATCCTACAAGATCGTGTGTCCAAACTGCGATCTGAGCGTGGCGCCACGGTAATGCCAATGCTGCATCCGTCGTGTACAGGCTCCTTCAAGACAAGAGAGACAATCTCTGAAATCCCACCATGACACTAGTAAATGTACAACTTACAAAACGCCGCCCACAACCGAACAACGATGCTGAGCCCTCCATCACAACGTCATAATAGCTATTGAATTTTCACGTTAAACTTCTTGGACACGACTAAAGTGAACTCTGAAACACAACTTTGATCTTCTTGCAAGTGGGGCGCGCCTGAAGGATCAGCGCGAATTATGTCCATACCAGAATAAAGCTCGTAATAGAAGCTGGAAGTCCTTGCCGGCATCAAATCGAGTGTGGGTGGGATCCAGTAAGAGTCGTACCGTGATGAAGAAGTGGGAATTCAAATATCCGAGCGATGCCGGTCTCCACTGAGACCCACAGACGAAGCCCTACGAGTATAGTCTCCAACACGCGGAGCCTAGTGGGCAGGGTGCTGTCACTTGCTGTCACCTGTGACATGACCTTTCAGGCCTCGGGTTGTGTGGTTCTTGTATGTTGCTCGAAGGATGCCCATGAAGGTGAGTAACAGAATCACAGGTGTGAAACATATGCATGACCATTCAATGCCCATGATCGGCCTCAGGATATACGTAACATATGCAATAGTAAACTGGTGAAGTATTTGCCAGGTGCTGATTAACCGTCCGATCAGTGACAATAAACAAATGATAAACGGCATGCCCAGCTCCTGCATCCTTTCTGCTCGACCGTAAAAAGTAACGAAGTGGTAGTACGTCCATCATCCAAACGTAAGACGCCAACTTCAAGATCGAGGTGACTGTGAAGAAAAGCCACGAGCGCAAATTTGCTATATATATATTCTCATGAACCGGATGGTCCGTGCGCGGGAACCCGAGTGGTATTTATGCTGCTCACCCTGATAATTTTCTCTATCGAAAGTTCACCTGGCGGGTTGATATTTGGGTTTCTCCTTACTTCTTACTGGAGAATCTTGAACCTAACAGCTCAGGGAGAAGGATACCTTTCACCCAAGTGCGCCTTGATGTTCAAGAGGTCAGAGGCGACCCGTATGAGAGTGAAATCTCTACCACACATGTGATGCTATATGTATTAGGCAACATCTAGTGCAATTTCTATGAAAACTTGAGCAGATTCGATGTGGGTGGCGACAACTGATATCGGTTGGAGGCCTTGCATCACGCTCTGAAGGCCACGACTTTGATATCGATATCATCATAGGGCAAGTTGGAGTTTATGTGTTCAGATGTTCAGATGGCCTCACTGACGGAAACGAAAAGTGAACATACAATTGAGCTCAGGACTTCATATCCCCATGCCAAAACCCCCGGCACTCCCTGCTGCTACTCTCCCCCCGTTTGCATCACTCAATTTCCTCCTCACCCAGTATAACAGTACGATCGATGCGCCACAACCCCGTCTAAGGTGTAACGTCTGGTGCTCGCGGTATGATAATAATGTCCCGAACACGTTTCCCTACACGCCTTCCGAGCGCATGACATGCCGACGGTGTGGGCCCGGCATGGTTCGTGCACTAAGAGGAATGACAGCTGTTAATGCTAGGAGAATGATCGTCAAGAGATTCATCTAGACCATCCATCAGTGTCATAGTAAGTCGCCGATCTACAGCTAGTACAGGTGAGTTGACCCTTGGCGTTACTATAACCAGTGACAAGCTAAGTGCGGGTTCGTTCGTCAGTTCCGTGCTCATGCTTTTATAGCTGCTGCACCCTGCTCATTAAAATATCGATCCATAAGTTCGAGAAATAGCATTCACGCTAGCATCATGACGATGCAGAATCTCTTGATCAAAGCAAGCCAATGACAACAAGACACGTGCGAAGTATTCACACTCATTTTCAGGGATAAGACTGAGCCGCGGGCAACCGAAGCTCGAAAAATCCAACTGCCTGAAGGTAGTGTTGTGGGCCCAACAGAGAGTTGATAATCCAAGGAAGTACTGACTCGGTCCCTTCATCAACCTCCCTTGTAGTGCCGACGGTCGCATGGTCGACAAACGAAATATTCAGCGCGTTGTTTTGGCTCAGCTGCAACATCTTTTGCTCAAGCCTTACTTGCCGTTGTACACCGAGTACACATAATGAATCATTCTGCCTCAATACATATTCTACCTCACCTCGACCTCGAGAGCATGATAGACGTTGGTCAGTGAATTGTTATCCTACGCAGTTTCTCCACTGCCATCCAATTCCATGAAAACTTGAGCAGAATTCGACCTTGAAGTGGCTGACGACAATCGGTTGGAGGTCCTACAACACGCTCTGAAGGCCACGACATTGATATCATAGGGCAAGTTGGAGTTAGGTTCAGATAGCCTCACTGAGGGAGACAACGGAAACGAAAAGTGGATATCTCCCTGCTGCTACACTCTCCCCGTTTGCATCACTTAAGGTCCTCCCCGCACCCCTACCCAATACAACAGTACGCTTTATACTTTATACGGTGGCTGGAGGGGCAACGTATAGTTTGCGCAGTATAATAATATGGCGGACACGGTTCCCCACAATCCTTCCAAGCGCACTGCATGTCGGTGGTGTCTGAGCCCGGCATGGCTCGTGCAGTAAGAGGACTGATAGCTGTTAATGCCAGGAGAATGATCGGCAAGAGATTCATCTAGACCATCCATCAGTGTCATAAGTCGCATCTACAGTTACAGGTTGATGAGTTGACCCTTACCGTCAAAAAGTGCGAGTTTATAACCAGTGACAAGCTTGTAAGTGTTTTTTTTTTCGTTCTGAGTTCATCAGTTCCATGCTCATGCGCTTTATAGTTGCTGCTCGTTAAAACGTTAATCCGTCAGTTCGAAAAACAGCATTCACGCTAGCACCATGAGAATATAGAATCTCTCGATAATCGGTAGAGGAACCAAGAGCCAGCCAATGTCAACAAGACACTGGGTCGCGGGTAACGAAAGCTGGAAAAATCCAACTGCCTGAAGGTAGTGTGGGCAGCAGAGAGTTGATATTCCATTCAGACGAATTGGACCCTTCATCGACCTCCCATGTAGCGCCGACGGTCACATGGTCATCAAACGGAGTATTCAGAACCCGATATTTCGTTCGTACACCTCGAGTTCGAACATCCTTACTGTAATCGACAAGTGCGACCAGAGTCTTCTCACAGTTAAGGGCACTACCATAGACAATCTGCGAGGATATTTGGGCACAACTTAACGTGTGAGCAGAACTAATACATACGACATACGTACTACGTATAGCGGTGTTAGGGAGTTCGAACGTTCAGTGTTCGCTGACGAATACAGCTGCCATGCCCATTCCTGAACCAATACACATGCTAGTGACGAACACTCTCTCATTACGTTGTTTTGCAATGTTAAGGCCGGTAGCAATTTGACGTGCTCCCGCTGTGACGAAGATACATCAAGACATAATTGATCGGAAAGGTTTTGAGACACGTACTGCATCCGAGTGGGTGCCCGATCGCGATCGCACCCCCATTGACATTGACCTTGTCAAACGACAAGCCGGCCTTCTGGACGCTGTACACAGCCTGAGATGCGAAAGCTTCATTTATTTCGTAGAAGTCAACATCGTCCCTGGAGAGTCCAGTTTTCTCCAGAACTTTAGGGATGGCGTACGCTGGACCAACACCCATGATGCGTGGCGGCACTCCCACGACTGCGGAGGCAACATATTTGCCGACAATGGGAAGACCTAATCGCTTAGCTACAGAGCGACGAGCAAGGACCACGGCTGCTGCACCGTCAGATACCTGTGAGGCGTTTCCTGTATGACGTTTAAATGGCAAAGTCTGAAGGGATGTCACAAAGAACCCACCAGCATGGGTCGTGCCATTCTTCGTAAATGCGGGCTTAAGTTTTGACAAACTTTCTGCAGTAACACCATCACGAATACCATCGTCCATGTCAACGACGATCTCAGAAACTTTGTCAGTCTTCGGGTCGGTGATCTTGACCTTCAGAGGAACAATCTCGTCCTTGAACTTTCCGGCTTTTTGAGCAGCAGCAGCCTTCTGGTAGGACTCAGCTGAAAACTTGTCTTGTGCCTCGCGAGAAATACCGAAATCAGAGGCGACGTTCTCAGAAGTAGTGCCCATGGGAATCAAACAATCCTCTGCCTCCTGGTTTGTGAGGACCTCATCTGACCAGCCGTCTGGTAAGGATCCAGCGCCGTATCCAAACGTCATGGATTCAACTCCAGCACCTAGAAAGCTCGTTAGTCATAAATGATGAGATGAAGGACTGTTGCTTACCAATACCGATATCAATTTGTCCAGCGATGATTTGGTTTGCAATCTGATTGACAGCTGCAAGACCAGACGAACATTGACGGTTCAAAGTGTTGATTGGAGTCGTGTTTGGAATCCCTGCGTGAAGGGCGGCCATGCGAGCAGCACCGGCGCCACCACCGGGAGGTAGAACATTTCCAACTGCAATATCCTCAACGAGGGCGGGATTGACCTTGGCTCTAGTATATGCAGCTTTCAAAACGCCGGACAGGATCTCCTCCGGACGAGTATCTTTGAAACCACCTTTCCTGCCCTGTAATTTGAGTAAGTCACCGGTTCTGGAGTTCTACTGTAACCATACCTTGGTGAGAGCAGACCGCACAGCGGCTACAATAACGACGTCGTTGTCGTTCTTAGCAAGAAGCTTTGACTTAGCGCTTGAAGATGCCATGATGGTGTCGGGGGTTATGCGTTGAGGTGGAGGAAGCCTGGAAGGGTGTAATATCGGTGTGCGAGCATGTGTTTAATACTGAATCAGGTGGATCATCTAAACTACCTTAGTCATCCTCCGGCTTCATTTTGGTGCATGTGTTTATGCCGCTTAATTAAGCGCTTAAGGCGTTCATTCCATGTCTTACTGCTCATAATCACCTGCTGGCCATCTGCCATGTCCTATACATCCGGTATGTTGTCGGCCTGAGATTCAGAAAATCATATCAAAACTTCCGACGTATGGATTCCACTTACCCACCACCTACTATACCTTCAAGCTTCATTGGTTTTCCAGAGGCTGCCATTCAGATGCAGTGTTCGAATCATGACAAGCCACGAGCTTGCCGGTGTCCAGACTCTGTAACCTCCGTATCATCGTGTGCTTCACTCGCCAGCGGTATACTATCCGCGGAGATATCGATGCCAGCCACACAGTGGTGACTATTGACGATCATTCTAGCACGCCACACTTAACTTATGTGCGCAGTTTTGTGGGGATGTGTGGTCCAATTTCATCTGAACTCTCTCTACAGGAACGATCGGTATGTAGCGATGACTATTTCAGGCACCATGATTTTTTGGCGGTTCGAGAACGAGCTCATCCAAAATCGTGTTGTTCCAATGCCAAGGCATGTCTCAGACGCTTTTCGCCCGATCAACCGACATTACCCATGGATTCACAAGTGCGAGGAGCAAGGTGCGCCTCCTCGCCCAGGCTATCTGTCGTGACGCTCAGCGACTAGGATTTGGTCACTTCATTAAACTGCCTTGGTGGCGACATTCTGATGATATACTTGATAGTCCTGCAGTCATGGACGCTGTATGTCTTTTAGTTGTCTGGAATGAGACATAGAAACAGCCACGGTATCGGATCATCTTACTGTAATCAAAACAAGGAATGTCATTATGTTGCAGAACAAGATCGACTTGATGAGGGATGCCCAACCATCTAACATCAGAACTCGTTGCCGCATGTGTCAAGGCTTACAATCGGCACTCTACCTGTCCTAGTCTGCGACTTCACTTCTGATCCTCGTCTCATCCTTATCCGTCCCTTTGACCTCAACAAGCCCGATGCTGAGGTGGATGGGCTCAAGGGCGGTCCCGCTAGTTCACACGTGTTCTCAGGCTAGAGTTCCGAATTAACGCCCATGACCGGAATCGCTGCAGGCTGATCTCCGGCAGGATTGGTTCTTGGATGCTGAGAGTAATTATTTGCAGTTCGTTGCCCCACGCCGTGTTGAAGTCGCCCATGTATATGCCGCTATCATTCCGTTGCCGTAAATGTCATCTGCAAGGTAATAACTGACTATCGAAGAACCAGACTATGTGAGACATTCTTGTGATTTGGTCTGTACTACTGTAGGGCTAACACATCATCAATAGGTGACTGCTGTAATTTGAAACTCCAGGGCACCGAACCCCCTGTTCTATCTAGCTCGTATCGAGATGGCCAACTCACTCCGAAGTCAGTGACCACTGCCACTGAAAATGATCCCTTCTCACAAACATCGACGAGTAGCTTGTCCTTGTATGATCTGCCGATCATCAGTAGTTCGTCATCCGCAAAGTAGGACATGGATCGAACATGCTCTTCATGTCCCTCCAAGGTGTCAGGATCAAGTCCCGATGCGGAAGCCGTGGCCCTTGTCTTCGCTACAGAAGTAGCGAAGTAGCTATTATTTCGATGCCCTCGAAAGAGCGGTGGTGAGGTCTCTTCCTGATACTCTTGTGCTGCAGCCGTCATGTCAATAGCGATGTTGTGGTGCCCAACTTGTTCGAGAGCCTTCTGCAGCACTTTGCCATCGTCAGTTCATCCGTACTGGGTGTTCGGATGGGATTTTATGGCTAACACACAAGAACCAGCAACGAAATTATTGTTGAGGTGTGTCAATCGGGCGACCGTGCTTGCATGTTCGTGTCCGATTACAATTCGTTATGACAGCAATGTTTGGCTGGTCGTTCATATCTGTCGCGCATTTTGGCGCTTCGGCGAACGCTTCTCCAATATCTATATCGTGTCGGGTGCGTATGCTGCAGCATTAAGTACCGATGACATTCGACGTGTCGACGATAGTGCCTGTCAACACATTCGTTCCCGACTTCCATTGGCGGACGAGTTGGCTATTCGTGTGTTGATAGGATTGTTGCAGCTCTCTCCAATGTCATGACAGGTGATAAATTGCGGGCTGTGGGCTGAAGCGTAATCCCTTCCACCTGTTGTACCCCCTGCATGATAGCCTGCCCCCGCTCCTTCCACTATTATCGAGTCTTGATGTGCTGTAGTATGTTGCTGCAAGGATCCGACATGTTCCGACGCACACAAGGATTACCCTATGATAAGGACATAGGTGAGCTTATCTAGTAGACGGTTCCTCACAGAATGACGCGCAAGTACCCAATCTGTAGTCTCACACACGTACGTCGCGTCCACATGACGCAGATATATAAGGTGCTCAAACCCGATTTCGTGATTCTGTCGTATAAGTACTACTTATGGATTGCGCTGGTCTTCCACATAGCAATGCCCGACCACCGCACCGCGAATCTGGTCGATATCGTGGCACTCGCGGCTGATTGGAGTGCTTATAATTCACAGTCATCTGTGGTATCTATCTACCATGGCGCAAATTCAGGATCGAGCGCCCTCTCTTCCAAATTCTGGGGTTCGTGATACAGGAATCGATGTCATTGTTGTCGGCGCTGGTTTTGGAGGTATTGCTTGTGCAATTGAATGCAAAAGAAAAGGTTACCGAGTGATGGTCTTCGAGAAGGTACATGAATTGAAGATCCTAGGTCAGTGACGATTACATACCTATTGTTCTTAGCTAAAGACGGAATCAAGGCGACGTAAGTTTCTTCGGGGTAATAGCTCGCAGCTCTAGAGCGGACGAAATACCAGATACTGAGCCTGGGCGTAAACGCTGGTCGCACCCTGGCCAGATGGGGCCTCTATGACAGGTACAAAGCACGTCTTCTCTCTGATCAAGCAATTGAGACGACAGATTGTGGAATATTTGCACTCACGCCCGTGAATTTCACGTCCATGATTTCCGGATCGGTGGTCTCATTCACGTACAAGAGCTGCCCCAGCCGCTCTTCGGGGCGTTTTCTTACAATGACCATCGAGCGCTTCTTCACGATGTCCTTTTTGAACATGTGTAAATGCCATATGTTAACACGTGTAAGAATCGATGCTTGAGCGTGCCGTATTGAGCGCAGGAACAAGATCTTTGTGTTTGTGTTATACTCTAGTACTGAAGTGAGGTCGTAACACCTATGGATAGGAAGGCCCGCTGTTTTGCCGTCTATGGCACAGGTGGCCAATAAGGAAACATGTTTCGGTGCGCACGGAGCCTGGATTCTGGATCTGATTGAAAGAGAACAAGGTGGCGAAGGCAGTGAACATACGGTTGAACAGCTGCATAAATCATGCATTAGGGCCGCATCGGACTCGGACAGTAAGTACCAGTAGTAACGAATGGTTCAGGCATCTGGATATCGTATGAGAGCGACTGTTCAGTGAAACGCGGTTGCTGCACAGGTGAGAATGAAGTTACTTAGCTGCCTCCCGACGCGACGATAAGTACTACTAGTAGGTACCGTTAGTAAGTACTATGCAACACCACTAACGCACTTCTTTCATAGCTTCATGTACAGTCTGTCCCTCGGGGCAGTCGAGTACGCGTTTCAGTCACGAACACTACGACCAGCTTCCCAATTATTACGTTACGAAGAGAGCAGTCTCCTCATCTTCGTACGGACTGCGCGTCTAAAACAGCCGGCAGGAACGGTGGACCGAGTGAGGCTAACCTCACTTCGGGGCATTCGCGAGTCCAGAGAAGTAGAAAAGGCAGGGGCCTTATAGACTAGTTAGTATTGTCCGACATAGGGTACTTTACCCCAATGGACAGAAATTGGAAAAAAAGTACTATGCAGTGACATACCTGGAAAGAGGAACGACTGTCTTCAAGGTCTGACTCTGGTGATATGCATTATCTGACCGTAGGCACTGAAGTCTGACATGACTCCGGTCAGAGACTAATGCATTCCGTTGGACCAAATCTCATCCGAGTCGATCCATCGACGATGTCTACTTGTTGAAGTTGCAACGGTCAACCCCGAGGCTTGTCACGTGCCTGTGCACTACTTACTAGGCCGCCAACCTCTTGAGTCTCGGAGTCTCAGTTCTTCAAATTCTGACTTGCAACGTGGGGAGGTTGAGTGATGAAGCCACGAGTGGCTGCTACAGACTGCAGTATAACTTCATCGTTAGGCTGAAGGTCCTAGGTATGTCAGGGTCACCATTATTCGATGACTTCAAGTTGATGCGATACTTACTAGTACTAGTAATGGTGAGCTCGGAAGGAGTCCATTCGGCAATGCCTACAAGTCCTTCATGATGCAGAAGGTAGCTTGTTGTTCGAGGGTTGTCGTGCAAATGACTTTTCTTGATGTTGTACTGGACTACACCACAAAAAGTCATCTGTAACTATGTTGTCGCAAGCTTCAACGCATACGAGAATTACTCTCGAATTTATGATGATGATATAGGGCGAGTGAGACTGCAGATTATTGGGTCCTTGCGCGGCATTTTGTGAGGAATGGTCCACTGGATTGACTCAATATAGCGCAGATAAGGTGGTCACACCGATTTCGTGATCCTACTTATGGATTGCACAGCTCGTCTTCTACATAGGAATGCCCGACCATCGCACTGCAGATTTTTTCGGTATCGTGACACGCGTGGCTGTTTGGAGTACTTATAATACGTTCTCACAATAATCTGTAGCATCTACCCACCATGGCGCAAAATCAGGATCAAGCGCCCACTCTTCCTAGTTCTGGCGTTCGTGATACAGGAATCGATGTCATTGTTGTCGGCGCTGGTTTTGGAGGTATTGCTTGTGCAATTGAATGCAAAAGAAAAGGTCACCGAGTGATGGTCTTCGAGAAGGTGCATGAATTGAAGACCCTAGGTCAGTGACGATCACATACCTATTATTCTTAGCTAAAGACGAAATCAAGGCGACGTAAGTTTCTTCGGGGTGATATCTCGCAGTTTCAGAACTGACGAAATACCAGGTACTGAGCCTGGGCGAAAACGCTGGTCGCATCCTGGCCAGATGGGGCCTCCATGACAGATATAAAGCACGTCTTCTCGCTGATCAAAGCAATTGAGAACACGACAGATTGTGGAATATCTGCGCTCACGCCCGTGAACTCCACGTCCATGATTACCTCGGAGGTCTCATTCACGTACAAAAGCTGCCTCAGCCGCTCTTCAGGGCGTTCTCTTACAATGACCATCGACCGCTTCTCCACAATGTCCTCTTCGAGCATGCGAAGTCCTTGGGAATCGAGATCCGCATGGGACACGAGGTTGTGGAATATTGGGAGGATGAAGCGAATGGGAAAGCTGGTGTCAAACTTCAAACAGGTGCGAGGTTTGATGCCGATGTCATCGTTGCTGCAGATGGAGTGAAGAGTCTGGCGAGAAAGTTTGTTATCGTAAGTTGAAGTTAACCCTGCTCGTGAACTCACTGGTCAACAACGACGAAGGGATATCACGACAACCCGAAACCTTCTGGTTATGCCATTTACCGAGCATGGTTCGATGCTGAAAAGCACGGGATTACGACAGATCCATTGACGGACTTCCTGAGCAGTCGTGGGGATGTGTTGTACGGGTGGATCGGTAGGTGGGTTTGTACACGAGTTTTTTCCTCGTTAATCACCCCCGGTAGGTAGAGACGTGCACTTCGTAACGTCTTCTTCCCGCGGAGGTAAACTTATTTCATGGGTCATCACTCACAAGTGTGCAAATCATCCTTCTCGTGATGTTCAGAGCTAAATGTTATTTTAGAGATAATGCAGCTGTGGATGGCCACTGGTCCTCCCCGGGTAAGATAGAAGACGTACTTGATATCGTGAAAGACTGGGACCCGCGGTGCGCTGCAGTCATCTCCAAAGCTCCCTCATGCATCGACTGGAAGATTCTTGTACACGACCCTCTTCCTACTTGGGTCAGCAAATCTGGTCGCGTGCTACTGATCGGCGATGCTGCTCATCCATTCTTACCGTAAGCAAGTATGGATAATTGATACTGAATTACTTACTTACCATGTGGTTGGCAGAACAAGCATGCAAGGTGCATCTCAAGCCATCGAGGATGGCGTAACTCTAGCAGTCACCCTGAATCTTGCTGGCAAAGACAACGTTCCACTGGGCACGAGGGCATGGGAATCCATGCGGTATGTGAAATATACTGTCCTCCAAAAGATGTGGAACATAACTTCTGCACCACATTGTACAGTTACCAACGGGTACGCGATGCGCAGCTGATGGGGGAGACTACCCGTGATAAATGGCATGGCGCCAAAGCTGGCGATTCTGGAAAAAGTTTTGAGCTTCCCATGCCAGAGTGGTTGTTGGCATTCGATGCCGAGGCACACGCATATGCCGCTTACAGCGGAATAGCCCAGAGTATAGTTCAAGACGGTTATCACCAGCCATCTCTTTCTGGGGGGCAGTTTACTGAACACGTCAAAGAAACCACGCCAGCGCAGTAGGTACCCAACTGTACAGACAGAATAGAGTTTGCGAATAAGAAGCCTGATCACGAGTTTCTGACCTTTGTTGAGTATCCGTTCTTGAAGATCTTTTTGCCCAAGGTCTCTTTAGCGGATTGCTGGTGGCGCCGGTCGGCTTGCTAGGAATATTTCACGACTCGACGTCCTGTCAACGGGGACATAATGCGGTTTCCTAGAATACAACGTGAACGATTAGCTCTTTGCAAACATTACTTCACAAGGTGAATAACGAAAGCCGTCATGTCTCCACCATCTGATAGACGAAGCATCGCATTGCCCCTTGTTTAATAAAAGAAGTGCCTGATTTAACTCGTCGCTGATAGACAAATTTAAAGAGACTGGGCTGCCTCAACCGAAATATTAATAAGAATGAGAATGAACATGAAGTATCATGCGGACTTCCATCACGTGAGGACCTCCACGGATCAACGAGTCATTGATGCTGCAGTACTACAGCAAATCTCTTGTTCTGGTGATTCGCCTATCCATTGTCCATGTCGTGCTGCGAGGTCGGAGTTCCCTTCTTTCCAAGGTTCAGCGAAGTTCCGGTGCTATGTTCTTGCGGGGCCGTACAAGGACCTCGAAGCACTCAAAGCGAGCGATTATCTGACGTACCTGCTCATTTAGCAGATGACATCGACGAGCCTTAGTCATTTACCGCACTAGGGCAGCCATAATACCAAGCGAGTACGGCGGATGCCCGATGTACCATGTGTATTCATCCACTGTTCTAAGTATATCCTCGGATTTTTGGGTACTGCAGCCTGAGTACTTTGTGGGCCAGATGACAGCAAGCTGGTGCCGTGTGTCGGGATCGGCGACAACCAGTTGCAGACGTCCCTGTTTATCAGGTACACGCGAGACAGTTAGAAGTGGCAGCACATGCGCCCCTTGCGATACTCGGGATAACAAAGTTTCTCCTGCTTAGCTGTGCCGCGGCATCTATTTCCACAAAACGGTTCCTATTCATAAATCGTGGCAGGATATTCACATTATTTTAGAATTGTGGCATAAATATCGGATACTCCAGGGGTTATCCATGGAAATAGAACGTTATCTGTAACGCGCGCTGTGTCACCTGGACGTGTTGACAGCATCGTGTTGTATGCTTTGAGCATTCTGGCTCCGTGTCTCAACCATGCGCTCATCGTACCAGTATGCGAGGGAGATTTCCGGTATAGATGGTTTCATCGGCTCTATTATAGCAATTCTGGTTGGCCTACGCGCTGGAATAGGAGTTATAGGACCTACGTGTCCCCCCTTCATACTTTTTGTGGCAAGCTTCCTGAGTTCGACACTGGTCAACGTTGGGCCGACGGCAACCCGAGGTTGCATCACGTACGATCAGTAATGGTATCATCTAAATCGGTGATTGCGCGTTCCGGACCGTTGATGGTGGGGGTTCCTGAAACGGGTACTTCCGAGTCAATTGTTTTCACATGACGAGACACTTTTGCACTACTTATCTGCACATTGCAGTGACAGGTCTCCCATGTGGCATATTTGGTCTTATCCTCTGGCGCTAGGGTAAACTATGGACAGTCTTAATTGGATTAATCGTTTGCTTTTTGCTGCGGATGTCATGGTGAGTAAAGGACCTGTCAGAGAGGCCTGATCGATCAACTCGATCAACTGATCGCGTTCCACTCGACTCAAAAGGGCAAGTGGATAGTGCGGAAGCAAATGATAAGTTGATCGCAAAGATCGACGGTCGCACGAAACCGAGGTCCAGGTATTTCGGTGCTAAATAATTATGCGGATTACGGTGCGATGTCCAACGATGAAAGGTTTGCATAGAAATACAACGAAACTCCAAGAAATCGTAGGGGTTACACGTACTATAGGCGTTTTGCGATTTTATCTACGAAAACAAATACGAGTGCTGCGAATGGTATCTGATCTCAAATAATTACGACGAATGCGGCGAGCTGATGGCACGTTCTAGCCATTAATGCAAGAAGACTAACGAGTCGAGTAGCGAATAAGCAGGCATGGAAGCATGAACTTTTAGGTATTCGTTTTCCTCCACGGAGCTCCGGGCTGCCACGGAAGAACGTTCCTCCATTATGCCACAGCTTCATGAACACTTGAAGAGCGCATATCTACGTGGTGTAAGCGGGGGGGAGACCGCTGACGCGCACTTTCATGATTACGGTCTGATGACGGGGCGGAGTAGGAGGCCCGTGCGGCTGGAGCATCTATCCAAGATTGGATCTCCGGCAACGTGTTCGGGTGGTGTGATCTCCTTGAGTCAGGCACAGACTGAAGAGGGGCAATGGAAGGGTGCGTGAAATGGTAAGGTGCTAAAGGGGGAACATGAGTGGAGATTGGAGGTAGGTGCGTTGATTGCGGGGGAGTCCTTGGCCGCATTGCGGTTGTTGCTAGAGCGCCTCTGCGGTGAGGAAACTGATCCGGTCTTGACCGTCCATGAGTGCGCTCAAATAAACCACACTTATTGCACAGCTACACAAAAATTAATTTAGTCGGTGTACCGAACAACGGAAGAGGCAAACTTACCACTTTTCCAGGACTCAAATTCGAACGGCGCCACGTCGATGTGTCTGTGGTGCAGCAGTTGAAGCACCTTCTACGGACACGGTCGCTTAATTTTGTAGCAGCATCGTCCGTGTACCCAATGGCATGGTAATTTTGACCTGGAATTGGATATGGGAGCTGAGGATTGTCGCGTCCACTGCTCGCAGTGCTGTGAGTCAAAGCGGGGCTAGTATATGAAGAAGACACATGATATGGGTGGGAGTCATGTGAGTATCTGTGCTCAGGATGAGGGCGAGGGGTATAAGAATAGCTGTGGGACACCCTTCCCGAGTCCCGGACAGGGTCATGTGGGTATGGTCTAGACTGCCGAGCCATCTGATCTTGCGAATAATAAGCATCAGAGTAGGCTGAATGTGAATCAACAGAACGATCAGTTGGTGATCGGCGTGGCGCAGGGGAAGAAACGGATGAACGGTCTAGGGATGAGACTGATAGTGAGGGCGAGTGTGACAAAGTTGCAATTGGTGGGGGAGTAGGCCTCCTGTATGAGTGATCATAATCATAATCATACTCGCGACGGTGACTACTAGGAGAAGGCTATCAGAAAGATTCAATAAACGGAACTGATAGGTAATACGTACGAGGACGACATTGGAAGGGAGTCAACACGGTGAGGCATGTGGAGGGGTGGAAGAGACGTTGAATGATAAGAGGCAGATGATGGGTGGTGCTGAAAGACGAGGGAGCGCTCTGATTTATCCAGTTGCGAAGATGTCGAAACCTGATATTTAACGAATCAAAATCAGATTTAAAAGGCACGGCCATTGAAGTAAATAAAGAACGAACACGGCGCTGATCAAAGGGGTCTGGAAGTGTTAAATTTGGAGGTAAAGCTGTTTCCTGTGATCTTGTATCTGGAAGAGAATAGTCCGGTGCACCGATATCAGGAAGGCTATGATCAGATGGAGGCGTTGAATGATGTCGTGGGGGATGGTCGCTGTGTTGAAGGTGACGAGATTGCCTTGAGAATTAAAGGATAAGAACCTAGGGATGAATACAAGGTATTTGAGTACTTGCCACTGTGAATTGTTACTTCCGATTTGCGGTAATACGGGAACGTGATCCGAGTGGGAGAACATAAGTCCAAGTGAAAGGGGAAGCGGAGATCCTGTAGTTGTTGTACGACTTTCGGCGTCTGGAGAAGTCATGAATTTTAGTAGAAAGAACCAAAAGAATTCAATCAAAGTACTACTAGAAGTACTCTCTCAAGTAAAACAACTTTTCATTTAATTTTATTAGTTCAACTTGTTTTAACCTATATTTACTTTTGGTAATCTGAGTTTCAATTTTAGACGGCTCGCGGCACATGCGGCTCGCTCTCACCGCGCTCCTGTAATCTTTCGAGTCGCCGATTAACGCGAATCCCCGCGACTCTCCTCGGATCATATGTGCATCAACTACTTCTAACGTGCTACTACATCACCCCCGCCCCCCTCGTAAATTCAGTTCTCATCATGATTGATCAATTCCATCTGTAACTTACTCGCTGGCACCCTCGGATTTCTCAATCAGGTTAATTGTATCCAGGTATCGCCGCGATTCAGTGCGATCACCCGCCGTGTTCTATATTTGTTCGTCGGGTTATCATCTTGATCGCCTACCCTATCACAATGACCCTGCAACATCAATCAGATTCCGAAGTTTTTCATTTTTGATTTGGCAGCCTCTAAATGGATCTCTCCTCTCCGTCATACAGCTTTTGCCATCATCACAATTGGCCGATAGGCTATGTCCCTATACCATTTCCATCTCACCGACTACTTTAGCGCTTGTATCTAGCCCATCATCATTACCTCCTTCGGTCACCTCTCCTCCGTTGGCATCATCTCTCCCATCATGATGGGCAATCATCCGGTCTTTCAATCGATGAAATAGTATGACACTCATCGAGGAGTCTCTAATACTCCAACTAAAAACCTTTGTTGCCTTTTCACAAGGTGCCCGTCCTTTGTACTCACACCCTATCTCCTCATCAATGAAGCGGATCACAATGTGTACTACAGTCGTATTAATGGCCTCAGGTCGCTCGTGGATTTTCGGGCTCTTTCTCCCGCTTTTCAGAGCGGCTTTTCGTCGTCACGCTCATTTAGGTATCATTTCGCTTTCACATGAATAAATCCCCATACCACGCTCTCTTGCCCGCGGTGGCAGATCGTTTGCAAGGGTGCATTTTTGACAACTTACGCCCAACTTTGACCGCAGCAACCGAAGCGTGATATCAAGTACACAGATAAGCTAGTCTGTCTTTTTATCGTTGTTACCCTTATTTTATTGCTGTGAAAATTCGCTTGGCATGGCTGCAGTGCGCCCCACGAACTGACAAACGAGAGCCATGCGACTCGCGTCCCTGAACAGACAACGGCAATGGCTTCTAAAAGTATTTTCAGGAACAAACTGATGTCATAAGTTGAGTTCGTCCATACATGCAGAGGACTGTAACAGGTCTGGTTTCAAGCTGCGGTTGTCGGCTTAGCTTCAATTTCGGCTTGGCGATGTTACACATCTTCGAATACATGATACCGTTGGGAATATTCGTTCTCGTATAGACGGGTATTATTCTAATTGTGGTTGTCCCCGCTGACATGTGTCAGGTGCAAGGCTAACTGTCTGGGTGTGGATCGCAAGCTGCATGAGTTCGTGCCTCAGAAAGAAATCACACAATCGGCTAGCTCCGCATATGTGGCATTAAAATGACTTTGTCATGTTATCTGGAGGGGGTAACGCTTTGTTTTCTTGGAGCCATCTCTTCACACGTGCCTTACAATCACTCTATTCGCCGTTACCGCCTTTGTGATGGTGAAGGTTGATCGAGCAGTCAGTTACAGGTACTAGGACCCCGGGGGCGTCATCAATTGCGGGATATACTGCGATGTCACTTGCTTTGACTGGCGTGCTTGAAAGCCCTTTGACCCGTCGTTTTCCACTTTCTTTGACCTAGCGCTGGGATGCCACACAACTGTTCATCTAGCGTATAAATATCGCCTCCCCCTTTCCTGACTCCATCAACTAATATCCAGATCATCATCAGCCCATCTCATCTCCATATCTAATTCCCACCTCTCCATTGATCAACGATGCAAGGTGCCGTCACTCGTCCGATTCTCCAAAGGGGCATGGTAAAGGCTATATCCTTCAATGCTGCCAACCGCTCAGAGGCGATGGCCGTCCTTAAATACTACTTAAACAACACCACGGCACAGGAACTCTATACACGGATTGGAACGGCCTTATCCGATCCAATGCTTCTCTCTACAGATGTTGAGAATTTCCTGTCTGCGCTAGAGGGTATCGGGATCGTAACTTCTAGCGCGCATGCTGCTGTGAACGACAATGTGGTCAGGCACTGCCTTCGCTGTCACCAACCGTATATGGAACGCGATAACAGAGCGCGTTCCTGCAATATTCTCCACACTCTACAAATGCCTGCTAGACCGGAAGTGGTAGGCCAAGCGCCGAAGGTTCGAGCCATTTGCTGCGGGGCCGATCTAAGCATTGAAGTTGCAACGAAGACGCTCCATTTCACGGGACGTCACACGACGTCAGTGCAGAACGTGGCATACAATACGACCAATGTCAAGACGTGTGCTGAAATGGGATGTGCTGGGAACGCTGCTGTGATCACGAAAGGGGCATGAGAACGAGGGCGAGGAAGGATCGATCAGATTGCCGCTCGCGTTCCTATGAATGATACCATCATCAGTGGTGCGGAACAGTTGCATCGTACATACCGGTTATCACATCTTGTACAAAAATACTTTCGAAATCTGATGCCGATGAGGCCCATCGAGGTCCTTGTGATGTGAAGTTTAAGCTGCTGTGATACAGCTACAATACAGATCAGTACTAGCAGTGGCATTATCCATCCAGGCGCGAGCTAATCTGCAAAGGGCAGAAACACGTAAAATCCCCAACGCTGTGTTCAACTCGCTTCCAGAAGATTAAGGCATTCGTAGCCTACCTAGAAATGATAACGTTTCATCCTGTAGCGTCGAGATGCATTGCTATAATCTGGATCAAATCTGGATAAGTAGTAAACTTTGCGCCTGAGGCTTGATGGTCTTTAGCCGCCTGTGTCATCAGCTGCCACAAGCATAATTGTAATGCTACGCACGTTCCTGTAGGTAAATTCAAATACGGAATGTGGCTGCTGGTTGCTGTTGCAGACTCGGAGACGTGGGTGCTCACTCGCTCTGGCGAACAGCGATCTCCAATATTTGCGAATTAATATCCATATTTTCTTCTTTTGGTCATACATATTATTGTTGTTGTTGTTAACTAAGGCACTTTACCGGTCAGTTGTGGTTTCTGGAACTTTGACTCAGGTGAGAAATACTTACAACTCCTTGAATTGATCAACTCTTGCATCGTCAACTCCTCTCCCATATGACCTGACACAGTCCGTAGTCCGCGGAAGGGTGCCTTCGAGAACACAAATTCATCGGTAGTAAGGAGTTCCGAAAGATCCTTTATTTCTGTATTCAGAATTTCAAGTGAGGGCTTCGGCATACCGTTAAGCCTTGGACGTAGGTCCCTGGTCACGAGGAGAGTAAACGTCCTCATTGCGCTGGAGATAACATCACACAACTCTTATCTGGATGTCAGTAGCACACGACACCTCCGATGATGATAATTGTGCCAAGTGAGTACCGTGTCTCATGCCGACCACATGCTCATGTACGTGCAGAATAATACTCACCTTATCACGTATGCCGTAGTATGCTGACAATGACAGTTCTTCGCCTTTATGCCCTGAAGCTCGACGATAGTATATAGCATGGTGCTCCATAAGCAATTCTGCGGGTAGAAAAAAATCACATCCTCCAACTAACGCGATGTTTGTGATCAGGCTCAGTTTAGTGCTCTCGACGCTGTTGTCGGTGGGTACCATGATGTCAGCCTGCGTCACGCACGGAATCAGTCCCAAGAACGGTACGCCATGACTCGCGAGTTTCAATCTTCAATGACTAAGTAGTTGGCTTAGGCCAGCCTCTGCCGGATTTATTGTACGCGACCATTGATGATCTCCAATCCGGTCTTGCGGCCGGCACATTCACTAGTGTGGATCTTGTAAAGGTAAGGGCATTTGTGCGTTTCTTTCCGTCCATTTTCACCCGCTGTTATCAAAGGCATACTTGGCTCGTATCGACGAGGTCAACCCTGTTTTGCATGCGGTTATTGAGACCAACCCCGATGCTATTTCTATTGCAGCATCCCTAGACGCTGAAAGAGCGAATGGATCCACGAAAGGGTATTTTTCCTTTCTCCGATCTGCATTTTCCTCGCTCTGATCGTTTATAGAATGTTGCATGGTATTCCAATATGCATCAAGGACAACATTGCGACACTGGATAAGATGAATAACACCGGTTTGTGATCATTATTGAATCTGTCGTGTTATTCGGCTCAATAACTTGTAGCCGGCTCGTTTGCCCTCCTCGGTGCGATCCCACCAAGCGATTCTACGATTGCGGCGAGGCTCAGAGCTGCGGGAGCCATCATCATCGGGAAGTGCAATCTCTCTCAATGGGCCAATTACCGTTCTTCAAACTCGACGAATGGCTGGACGTCTCGCGGTGGCCAGACCATGGGCGCTTACTACCCGATGCAGGACCCGTCTGGTTCTAGCAGCGGTCCTGGTGTTGTTTCGTCCATTGGTTTGGCCGCTGCTGCTATTGGGACGGAGACCTCTGGTTCTATCATCTCTCCTGCGAGCAGAAATAGTCTAACTGGAATTAAGCCTGTATGTCCACGGGATCTGCGGATTTATACACACTCAATTGTTTCAGTCTGTCGGGTTGACCAGCAGATACCTCGTAGTCCCGATCTCGCAGACTCAAGATACCATCGGTCCCATGACACGAACGATGGTGGATGCAGCATACATCCTCTCCGTGATCGCAGGTACGTCTGTCTGGTGTAGTCGTCGCACCTCAGACTAAAAATTCCATCAGGACAGGACTCTCACGACAACTATACATCTGCTATTCCATTCGAAACCGTTCCCAATTACGCGGCCGAGTGTAACAGCAAAGGTCTGCGAGGTGCCAAGATTGGCATCCCACGCAACGCCATCACGGTGTCTTCAACCAATGGCCCTGAAATCACAGCATTTAATGCATCAATCAACATTTTCAAGCAACTTGGTGCTACGATAGTGGATAATGCTGATTTCCCGGACCTTGCTGGATACATGAACTTTACTGGGGCGAGTGTAAGGTCTTCACGCAATTGTAGCCTTTGATAACTAACAGCGCTTCTCACTTAGTACACCTCGTCCCCGGTTGTCGGTGCTGATTTTGTCGCTGATGTTGCAAACTACTTCAACGAAATGACGACCAACCCCAACGGCATCAAGTGTGTTGCCAGATCGTCGATCGCTTTTCCTCGCTAATTGATATGCTGCCTATCAGAAACATCCATCAGCTCATCAACTTCACGGAGACATATGCCCCAGAGGACTACGTACGTTGCTTTGACTGACAGTTAGATATTTATTAACTCAGTTTATCTCGGACAGCCCGACCGTAACGTTGCAAGGTGAGTTAGCTCACCGTAATAGGACGGATATTCTTTAACCCTTCAAATCGCTTCAGCTGGGTTAATGCTGCAAGTCTCAATGTCACAATGGGAGATGCCAACTATTATGCTGCGCTACTTCAACAATATTATTACGGATCCAACGCCAGTGAGTTCTAGCGATTGATGTCGTCTACATTGCATGACAACACACGCAGCAATCCTCGGTGCTTTGGAAAAATACGACCTTGATGCTCTGATTATTCCAAGCTCAATGTCACCAGGTTATGCTGCCATTGCTGGCTACCCCATCGTTACCGTCCCACTTGGCTACTACCCCGCCACTACGAACGTAACCTACAACGCGCGCGGCACACTGGTGTCTCTGGGGCCAAACTTCCCGTACGGCGTGATGTTCTCTACGTACAAGTCGAGTGCTTATTTCTCTGTTTTATTTTAGCTTTGGTCTGTCATTCTATGGTAGGCGGTTCAGCGAGGCCAGCCTGGTCAAGTATGCTTGCGCTTTCGAGTCCGCTACTCAGGTATGTCCTGTACTGTTTGTTGCCACTCGGAGTTGACTAGCAGTCTCTTGTTAGTACCGCCAATTGCGGAACCCCTACGTCATCCCCAACATTCAGCTTATCGATGTGATGTAAACGTCCATTGGGTGACATGCGGTTTCTTCCGTCCTTTAGAATTTGCTGCTGTAAGTATATTAACGAAATAGAATGATTATTATAAGTTCCTGTGGCCCACAGCTGCAACGTCAGGGATACGTACTGATGACTCGTGCTGGGTACTCGGACCGAATGGATGCATCGCATCGTTATCAACTGTTCAGATGGAACTCACGGATGGCCTTTTGCTAGATCTGATCATTTGTCGCTGCTAAATATCGGATACCCAAAGCGGCGGGTTGTGTTGGCTGGATCAGATTCACACCGATGTGATAAGCCCAAGGTCAATGAAGTGTAATACCCGGCAAAGCCAGCGGTGCACCTTCATCATATCATAAGAGGCAGAGTAGGGGTGATATGGATCAATATATTTAGTCCGAATCATGCACTTCGGACACGCGCGATACTACTGCCTTTCAGTTACTTGGCTGAAGGCGCCTGCAATCAATCGATAACCCCACGGGTGTGTATTAGTGCGGCTCGTCGTGCACAGGAGGTCCTATGACATACCACTAAGCCGGCATCTTACAAGCTGTGCTTGCTTCTATAGAATGATCTTAAACACTCCACCAACTCCCTGAGGTATCGAAGCGAGGCTCGGTACCGGTGAATTATGTAGTCGAGGCATTACGGTAATTTGCATACCATCCTCGTTTGGCCCGCGTAGCGACTGCGACCCATTTGTTGAGGGAAACATACAGTACAAGCCAAAATTCTACATTAATATACGTACGTAAGTAACCTCAATTATGTATTTACAACTACAGTGGACTCAGTCGTCTCAAAAATCCGGCCGTCTTCGCACTGAAAACATATTGCATCTTGGAAACACTCCCAGGACGGTGCAGGACATCAGGAGTATATTGAGGACAGATCATGTACCCCAAGTTGAGCTTCCAATGCTGTAAGTGCTTCTACTTCAGATAGAGAAATCACAGCGTTCTTAAAGAGCCTGCCTGTGCGCATGGAAACCTTTGTTCTGTAGATGCGGAGTGGCGTGGACAATTCATAGTGTTCAACAGATCGTCTCTTCTTGGACCAGATGCAGATTGTAATGCGCTGATTCCATCAATGACATTGGCAAGATGCTGATGGCTCATCTACAGCAAGTGGGGCCAATATTAGTACTGGGGATTGATGTGAATCAGTGTCACTGTAGGTGCAGTTGGAGTATGTATCCACACACTCACAGATTTTCAGAAGTGTAGGGTCTCGGATTTGAAGGCGAGAATGTGTCACACCTAGAAGCAGATACACCCGAACTTGTCTGAAGCTGCTGCGCACGGCATCACGAAAGGCCATCATAGTTCCACGAACAAACCCCCTCATTGCTGTGTGTAAATTTCTCCGGACGCAACACGGCTTGCGCCCGAACTCTGTAATGAATCAATAGCTGGCAGGAGACCATAATGATCTTCACATTGAGTTCTGTAGATCCCCGGTCTCATCACGCGGTGACCATCAAAAGCACCGCTACAGCATAATGACATTGCTGATAGTATATCCGAGATCAAATCGACATCTGTAAATCCCATACACACCCCCAACAGCGATTAGAAATCCATCGATATGAAACACATCCAACAAACACAGCAGTCTGGACGAGATCAGCCCCTCCTTCCAAAGAGAAAAGAAAGAACCTACATAGCCAAAGTCACGCGTCCAATATTGGGCGCTCTCGCCGCCCAGGGCGAGAACCTTAATTTCAAAGTCTTCTTCGCTCAAGATCCCCTTTACGCGCACCAGAACAGGGGATGGAGTACTGCTATCTGCGGGAATGAACATGACATTCACGTGGTAGGGGTCGATGGGCGCGGAGAGTGGAACAGAACTAGACGGATACGGCCCCAGCTGAAGCAGTGTTTCGCCGTAATTAGTGGGAAATTGCGATCAAGTAAGTATGAACTGGCGTACTTGGCATCTTCGCCGTATGATACGGTTTTCACCGGTGCTGATGTACTGATCATTGATGCGACATGATGAGCATCGGTAAATCTCGGGGCTCCCTGCACGGGTTAGAGATACCCAACAGATAACGACCCACCTCGATAGGTACCGTGACAAATTTGGTTGCACCTTCACCATCGTGAACCACGTGTTGAGCAAGCCGTCAGGATAAAAACCAGTAGCGTAGCATGAAGCTGGTCAGGGTTAGTGGGAGGACCAATGTCGGGATGTATCATGCCGGCGTCTTTGTCCATCCAGCCATACGGAGCGTCTGTCGCCCAGGCTGAAAGTCCGAGCACGGAGTTTTGGGAAAATGTCAGTGGTCATGAAAGCCTTCGTCGCACATTTCCAAGCCACGAAATCTAAACCTAGACCCGGAGGTACAAGAGAGAAATCACCAGAGAGAATCTCGGAAATGGGAAGGTTTTGACAGATCACACCTGTTGACATTTACAAACTACTAAAGTTCAACACGCACCCTCAACCCGGCACGAGTGAAAGATCAAACCGTTGATTGACGAAGTAGGACGCGGAATGCTTTGTGAAGATGTTGGCGGTGTTACGATGAGTAAAGACCAAGATCTAGTAGGCAAGGTGCCGGCTTCGACGTGCTCCCTGATGAAATGATAGCGCAGATAAATATGCTTGGTGCGGGTGTGATCTGCGGCTTCGGTGGAGAGAGCAGTGGTGCTAGCATTGTCAGGACCCAGCGGAGAGCTTGAGTGGGAGTGTTGAAGCGGAATCTTCAAGCAGTCACAGAAGGACTTGATCCAAAGCCCATCTTGAATAGTGCCCCATAGTATAGAAGTACTAGTATGCATATCCCGTCAGCGTTGTAGCCCAATCCGCATCACTAAACTGTGGACAGTGGTTTCAACATTTTGACCGCCATAATGAACGCGGTGAGCCTGAGAGAGCTCCAGCAAGTTACTGTAAGAAACGCTTTGCAGCTGTGTAGTCAACACGCAGCTCGAGTAACCCGCAAAGAGCAGAAACATGCAAAATCACGTTGCGTTTTATTTCATAGTTCTTTCACCTGCATCTTCGACTTGTCACTCGCTAGCTTTGCGCTAGTCTATGATGGACTGTTCAAAGTACGTGGACACTACGATATTAATCCACTGACTTGGAGATCTCGCTTCGCAAGGTCTTTGCTGGCAGCACCCGACCCTAGAAGTGCTGAACTCGCTTAGGCATTCTGAATCGCTATTAGAATGAGAACGTTTCACCGTGTAGCGTTTCGAGATGAAGTGTAAGTATGGCAATGGTATTGCTATACTTACAGTTGGATGAAATCAGGTTAGTAGGTTTTGAGCTGCTATATAGGATGGTCAATTCCAAAGAATTTGTGACATTCTTCAGCTACTAGCGCCATGTTTGTGATCAGGCTCAGTTTGGTGCTCTCGACGTTGCTGTCGGTGGGTTCCAGGACATCAGCCTGGCTCACATACGGTACCAGTCCCAGGAACGGTACGCCATGACTTGTGAGTTTCTATCTCCAACAACTAAATATGTAGTAGCTGGCTTACTGCACTGGTGTCTCAGGGACCAAATTTCCCGTGAGGCGTGATGTTCTCTACGTACAAACCGTGCACTTGTTTCTTTATTTTATTTTAGCTTTGGCCTGTCGTTCCTTGGCAAGCGGTTCAGTGAGGAAAGCCTGATCAAGTATGCTTGTGCTTTCGAGTCCGCTACTCGTGTATGTCCTGTGCTGTTTTCTTGCCACTCGGAGCTGACCGGTAGTCTCTTACTAGTACCGCCAGTTGCAGAACCCCTACATTGTCAGTTCATCGATGTGATGTAAACGTCCATGGCTATCTGACAATGCAGGTTCTTCCGTTGTTTGGAATTTGGTGCTGTAGTATATGAACGAAATAGAAAGATGAAGTTCCCGAAGGTATGTAACGCGTCGGCTTCCATATGATCTTAATATTTTAGATTAGTTTATTGTCCGTTGGCACGAATCCCTATCTAGACAGTACATACAGTGTTTATGATGCCTTGTATTGAGTATATAAAGTATCCTCGGTGTTCGACGATGCGTTTGTCAAGGCCTCAAGCGCAAGACGGTTAAAGGCGATAAGATGGATGAATCAACGGCGTTCTCGGTTTAGGGCTCTGTCTGGCGATGGCGTGACATCCCCAAACACGCTCTCTAGACGACGGGTGCGTGCGATGAATCTTAGAAGTGCTTTAATGCCCGTTGAATCCGAGTTTAAGAGGAACTGCTATGGTGAAGTGGTGGACGGATTCGTTGCGGTCATTGCAGGCTGGGGCTTTTGCTATGTGATGGAGGTATTTGTTCAGCGGAGCGTGGCCAGAGCAGAGCAGAACTGAAAGATGAGGCTTGCTTGTTTGCGGGAGAACATGGATACGAGTTCGGAGTAACGCTTGGAGGGGATACATTTGTTGAGGGAAACGTACCATACGAGCCAAGAGTCTGTGATCACAGTGGCATCAATGATATATGTGAAACTATGGGAGGCGATGGCGAGTGCAGTCCGATTCTCATGGACTCAGCTGTCTCAGCATCGACTGATCGACTCTTCTTCGCATTGAAAACATTGCATTTTGGAACCCTCCCAGAACGGTACACAGGAGTGTATCGAGGACAGATCATGAACCCTTGAGTTCCCAATGCTGTAAGTGCTTCTACTTCAGCCTCTGATAAAAATCACAGCGTTCTTGAAGAGCCTGTGTCCTGTGCGCATGGAAACCTTTGTTCATTTCCCTCTGCAGATGCGGAGTGGCGTGGACAATTCAGTGTTCAACAGATTGTCCCTTCTTGGACAAGATACAGATCGCAGTGCGCTGAGCCCATCAAGACCTGGGCCAAATGCTGATTGCCCACTAATCTACAACAAGTGAAGACCTATGGGCTGGTATCGGAGGTTTTATGTAAATCCAGTGTCACTGTTAGTTGCATTAGGTAGGGTTTCATAGATCTGAAGGCGAGTATACTTGTATAAACACATATGCCCGTACTTGTCTGAAGCTGCTACGCACAGCATCATGAAGGGCCATCGTAGGTCCACCGACAAACCCCCCTCGTCGAGATATCTTTCTGGGTGTAAGTTTCTCCAGACGCAACACGGCATGCGCCCTAACCTCCCATGAATTAAGGGCTGGCAGGCACCATAATGATCTTCACACAAAAATGTTCTCTGTATATCCCTGGTATGATCGCGCGGTGACCATCAAAGGCACGGCCGCAGGTTAATGACACTGTTGATAGTATATCCGAAATCAAATCGACATCTGTAAATCCGATACCCCCAACAGCAATTAGAAATCCATTGATATCCGACAAATACAGCAGACAATTCGTTCAACATTCAACTCCTGTAATCTCCGTTGATCCGCACGTACTCCTATAGTTACAGATCAGCGCCTCGTTCTAAAGAGAAAACAAAGACCTCACATAGCTGAAGTCGCACGTCCAATATTGGGCGCTTTCACTGCCGAGGCCGAGATCTACCTTGATTTCAAAGTCTTCTTCGCTCAAGATCTCCTTTGCGCGCACTTCATCCACTAGCTCGGGCTCACCACGCACTAGAACAGGGAGCGGAGTACTGCCGTCTGCGGGAACGAAAGTGACGTTCACGCGGTAGGGGTCGATGGGCGTGGAGAGTGGGACAGAGCCAGTTGCTGCAAGGATACGGCCCCAGCTGAAGCAGCGTTTGGTTGCAATCAGTGATAAACCACGATCGAATGTGAACTGGCGTACTTGGCATCTTCGCCGTACAATGCGGTCTTCACTAATGCTGATGTACTGATCTTTGATGCGACGCGATGGGCATCAGTAAATGTTGGTGCTCCCTGCACGGATTAGGCCGATGAAATAGATGGATAACCCGGGACAACTCACCTCGACAGAAACCGTGACAAATTTGGTTGCGCCTTCACCATCGCGAACCACGAGTTGAGCCAGCTCAGCAGCGAATGACGTGAGTTCATCACGGAATGCCGGGAACAGAGGATCGTGCTCCTCGATCTCCTTGGTCTCTCCAGCAGCAGCACCGTTAGCGAGAACAACGATAGTATCATTCGTGGACATGTCTCCATCCACACTGATAGAGTTGAAGGAACGGTCAACTGCATGCGTGAGCGCAGACTGGAGGGCTTGCGGGGAAACAGCGGCATCCGTCAGGATACAACCCAGTAGCGTAGCGTGAAGTTGGCCAGATCTAGTAGGAGGACCCATGTCAGGATGGATCATGCCGGCGCCCTTGTCCATGCCAGCCATACGGAACGTCTGTCCGCCCAGGCTGAAAGTCCGAGCACGGAGTTTTGGGAAAGTGTCAGTGGTCATGAAGGCCTTCGCCGCACGTTCCCAAGCTGCGAAATCTGAACCTAGACTTGGAGGTACAAGAGAGGAAATGCCGGAGAGAATCTTGGAAATGGGAAGGTTTTGGCCGATCACACCTGTTGACATTACGAGTGTATCATTGACATCTCCACTAGCCTGCATTTTTGGGAGAAGGGCATCGGTGGCTTTGACCGTGGCCCAAGCATCTTCCATGCCCTGCTTGCCAGTCACTGCATTTGCGCATCCGCTGTTAGTCACGATGGCTCGGGCACGACCGGCACATTTTTCAAGCACATCCTGGCTGACGAGGACCGGGGCAGCCTTAAACGCGTTACGAGTGAAGCACGCTGCTGCGGAAGCAGGTTTTGGAGAGGTTGAAAGTATAACTGTAAGGTCAAGGACAGATGGGTTTTTTTTCACGCCGCAATGTACACCAGTAAGGCTGTAGCCATGCGGGAAGGAAGTATCCGGGATTTGGACGTGATGGCGCGTTTTGGAGGGTGCAGGTTTGGATACGAAAGTTGGAGATGAAGATGTAGAAGAAAAGCGCCTCCAAACTGAAGGGCCGCAACGGTTCATTTGGCAGAGTGAAGGTTTGGTCTAAGCTGTGGTATTCGGGAGACCTGGTTTATAAGTCAGAGTCTTGACTGCTAAGGCCATTTAAATTTCATGTTCGGCGGACAAGTAGCATGGCCATCGTGGGGCTGAGAAGTCATCGAATGGCGAAGATCCCGCATAGACACATGGACGAAAGGTTTTTTTAAAAAGGATGTAGTTTCATTCTGGGGTGACGCAACGCTATCGTAGAATAATTCTACAGTCAGCTGCTTATACAAAGCGAACGAAAGCTTCAATATCCCATCGCTCCGTTACTCGACAACATCTCGTAGGACGTCGTCGAGTGCAGCACTATGTCTGCAACGATGGGTAACTAATAATACCGTGAGGTATTTGACGACTCCTTATATACTCATCAAGTGTGACAGGTTGTAACATGTTACTACACTGTGACGTTGTCACGCTTCTGTGTTATCCATCCTCAAGCTCAACGACCTCGACACGGCGGAAGATTTTTAGACGGTAAAATGGGCTCAACAAGGTCAGTGTCTGCTCGCCTTACTTCGCTACGTCGTATCTGCATACTCCGCTGGTGAAGAGCTTAGTGAATGGGTTGGAATGCGATGGATGGGTTGGATGTGATCTGGATGAAGTGCTTCTCAGTGCAAGATCAAGACTTTACTCATGCTTCCTCCTAATGCACAGACTCTACTGCAAGGGACGCGTCCTCGGCCACAAACGCGCTAAACGCAACACCCGCCCCAACACCTCCCTCATCCAAATCGAGGGTGTCGCAACAAAGGAGGATGCCCAGTTCTATCTCGGCAAGGTACGCATTCATGCCCCTTTTCCATATCCAAAATCAACTCAGTGGTGCGTACAGCGTGTAGCATACGTCTACAAAGCCAAGAGGGAGATCCAGGGCTCGAAGATCCGTGTGATTTGGGGGTACGTCCGGCCATTCTTGTATCACTAGTGCAGTCAGTCTCATAACTCTGTTTGTACTCGCAGCCGTGTCACCCGTCCGCATGGTAACTCTGGCGTCGTCAAATCAAAATTCAGATCCAACCTTCCTCCGCGCGCATTCGGTGAAAGCGTCCGTGTTGTGCGTCCGCTCGTTTTCTCCTTCGACTGTTATATTGACCCACCTGCGTGGTAGATGCTGTACCCCTCGACGGTTTGATTGTACCTCCCTCTTACCTGCTTCGCATTCTACGTATTCATATTGCGTATGTCATGTCATATGAACCGCATGCACCCTTATAAAACGCATACAAAGACCTATCTATTGGAGTGATAAGTTATGAACTGATTATGGCTAGTCATGTTGTTTCTACTACTAATCTACGGCATCGAAGGTCAGGTCATTAAACGTAGGTGAGTTCAATTTGTTGCATGGTGGGTTCCTATGATCTAGTTGTAACCTGCGGCAGAAATCCGGCGCATGATCCAACCATGTATGACAACGACCTCGATAATTCATATCATCAACGCTGAGTAGCGGTATTTGCAGGTCTAGCGAAGTGCCAAGCACATCATACGTCTCAGATGATAGCTTCATTTGAACAGTACAATAGAGATTGTTGACGTCGGCCTCGGCACGGCCGTCGCAAGATACCGCACACTTTATATTGGCGTTGAAGCTGGTGTCTGCAAGATCTGTGCATGTTGAGGTTCATTGATGCTCAACTCGCAGATAGATGCTTCGAAGGCCAAGGTTGTGTTTTGCGATACATTACGCAGGCGCCATATGCGGATGAGGGCGAAGCAAGCTGCCTGTGGACTCTTTTCAACGGTTCGCCGCCAAAAGCATAGGATCTTGGTAGTGGACTCAATCTCACATTTGACAAGGCCCGTGAATCCTTCGTATGTTAGGTACGTATTGAAGATGTCTATCGAGACACCGAAAACGAGAGTGGATGTGAATACGGAGACAGTGACAATACCGGGAAATAATGCATCCCGGAATCTGTCACATCTTTTCACTGGAACAGAAAGGGATGCGAAACTGTAATACCAGGGACATCCATTTTTTTGGAATCGGTACACACGCAAATTCAGGGAATACCTGACTCCAGGAAACAATGCTCCACTCGCAGGTAGATGCTTCACAGAAATGGAAGAATCTGTCACATCTTCACTGTCACTGTCAGGATGACATGATTAATTGTGGCCCTTCAAGCCATCGACCATGACGTGTGCTGGTATGTTGTCATGTCGCATTGGGAGTTGTCAATTTTACTTTAACTAACATGCCTCAATAGTCCAGAGCATCAATAGACAAAAATGATATTGGGATTCGTCGATTGAGACCCTGATACATTTGTAGAGACAATAATGCCCCGAGGTTGCGGTGGGGTGGAGCCAGGAGGAGTCCGAGAAAACAACTAGGCAACAACTGTTGTCTAATAAATTCATCACCTCCGGTTTCAATTTAACCTACACGGTGTTACACTTGATGGCAGAAAAGGCACATAGAGAAAAGAAAAATTAAAATAACGGACTTTAGTAGCTGATGGAAAGGAGGCATCGAAAGGCGTGTTGCCGGCACATAACACACAGTCGATTGAGTACTAACGCCGTTAGCTTGCGGGTATTTGGACCGAGGGTAACATTAATGATTTGAGGAGGCGACCTGGAGAGTGTTGCACAGTAATAGGCACTCAGTCCGACAAACCCAAGGACATTCAAGTCGGCAACGGGTTCCTGGTATGCAGTTAGTTCGAATTAAAAATCTTGATCCGCAAAGCACTCCCCTGGGCACACATTAGCTTGAACAGCGGTAATCATAACAAGGAGCTTCTCAGAATTCGAAGCAGAGTACCGCCCGGTTCTCATGGCTTGGACACCCGCTTAGTATCCACACAAGGGCAGTGCTCAATGATACGTGATGTTCGGTCATTCATGAGTGCACCCAGTTCCATCAGATCGATTCCACAAACTTACAGACAAGCTCGAGACCTTCATGTCGGAGATTTGTTGCTGAGGCATGATGTCCGTATTCCACGGATGATCGCAGTCGCAGTGCTGTTAGTACTAATGTTATCCGACGCCGCTCACCGAGAAACAAACATTCTTCTTGCTGAAAATATGGAAGAGGGTGGGGAAGGAACCTCCGAGACTGGAACGATGCACCACTGAACACTGTTGTGAGGCAAAGAGCGCATAATCATCTCCCCGATCAAGATGGACGGTCTCGATACGGACGTGGAGCGCCTCACCGAAGGTTTGATAAGGCTGCCAGAGCTCTCTGTTGTATTGCACGAGCCGGATTTGGTATGGACAAGCCAAGGACAAGCAGGATCTTGTAGTTTCGAGAAAGGCAACGTCAAACAAATGAGTTGTCAATGGTACAGACGCCTGCCACCCTCCCTTCAGGTTTCAGCCAATCGAGCCGTCTGGCTGTCGACGATCTGAACCTAGTAGTTGCGGGTAGTCAAACTCAACGCACGTTGGAGTTTTTGGTGGTTGCATCCGCTGACTTCGGTAAAAAAAACAAGAACGACCGGATAGAAGCGGTGGGCAAGTCTAGAAAGTGTCGCCATTCCGTCAATAGTGAAACAAACCATTAGTAAATCATTGCACAGTCCCAAAGTGTCAAGTACCGCGTTACGTACCAGGGTTGTGAATAGCTTCTCAGATCCAACTTGTGTGCATGTGGACGTGGAATCGAAGAGTATGTTATCACCCCCTCCTTTCCGTTGCAGTTTCTAAAAAACTTTAACATTAGGTTCACTCCGTATACCATTTTACATCGACCGTCAGCAGTTCTTCCGGTCAGTGTTTCTTAAAGTAGGCCATTTGGCAATCGGATCAAGTACTACTGCATACACTTAGTGTCATCAGCACAGGTTCTACAGCCTAGCTGCTTTAGAACCTCACTAGGACTCCAGGAGGCTCCAAAAGAAAAGATCCCGCATTTTCTGGGTTATTAAGTAGGTGAGCGACTCATTTGGGACGCTGCGGCTGCCCGTATGATGACAGTCTGGGCGTCTGATGAGTGGTTATCAATGTCTGTGAAGCAGCATAAAAGCTCACAGCGTACTCACCTAACAAGATATCCACAGTCTCCATATCCAGCTCCACCCTCGAGAAAATAGTGCAGCTAGCCTCATTCCAGGCGCCGCATCAGGTGTCGAGAACGTGTAATCGCAGTCGCTGTTTTCGCACACCGACGCACATTTGGGTCCGAGACTACATCAAGTTATTAATTTGATCTTTCCACGTACTCGTTTTACAACGTGGATAGAACACAAGCGGTGTTCTGGGAGTGGAAAGCAAGAGCGATCAGCTTCAGCCAAAAAGGGATTTGTTTGGCTTTCCCCTTGCGGGACACCCCGATCACTGGTACGCGGTGAAGTGTATGAACGATGAACGTTGACGATATTATGTTGATCGACGCTATACTCGAAGACTTTGACATACTCAGAATGATTTGAGATTACTCCTTGGGCGATTGCCGTTTGCAAAATTGGCTCGAGTGCCAAAAAAGGAAAAGTGGTGTAAATCACTTTCGAATTTTTCCTCGACAACGACAAGAGACAAAGTCACTCGGAGAATTAAGACGCAGGGGCATGCAGCAAGAACGGCGTATTTTGACGAAGGGTATGTCAACTGATTGTCGACTCAAACCTCGAGCTACAACACATCAACTTGTCAGAGGACGAAAAATCCAACGTCTCGCTGGAGGAGCCAACAATTTGCAAACAGCTAGTATCTACCCACCTAATGGTGATTTTTCAGATGCTGCTTGACTTGAATGCCCTAGGGCGCAAAGTCTATGCATGAGAGGAGCACTCCGAGTTGATAACTTGTAAGTGATTATCTTTATTCAGAGCCCATGGAATTCTATTTCATAATGATAATTGCCAGCTATCACTGTGCGGGAAGAGAGATTCAGATGGGGATCTGCGGTAGGATGCCAAAGATGAAATGTTTGGTGGGGATGAGAATGTCATCTTCAGAGTTGATGCTCTAGACCGTGTATTCGAAGACGCGAATACGAAGTCATGAAGGTGCGTGTTATGTCTGTTGTTGAACCTCTTTGCTTGTCAGCAGTAAATTACCCACCTAATGGTGATTTGTCAGGTGCTTTTTGGCTTGAGTGTCCTGTGGCGCAAAGTCTAGCATGAGAGGAGCGCTCCGAGTTGATGACTCGTAAGTGATCATCTTTATTCAGAGCCCATGGAATTATATTTCATAATGATAATTGCCAGCTGTTACTGCTTGAAAAGAGAGATCCGAAGAGAAGGTCCATACCTCTGGTCATTGTATGTTATCATGTGAGTCAAAAGGGAGCACTAGCCTCAAGATATGCAAAATAAAACAATATATAGATTAGATCAAGACATGACAGTAACACGACATGAAGAGTCGGTCTGTGAATTGGGTCTGAAATTTGGTTTCCCAAAGATATAAAGGTTCCACTCCCTGCATCGATTCTACAGTTCAACACCCCAAGTAACACACTCTTACCAATCTAGCCACCACGAAGCTCGCTTTGTCTTATGCTTTTTTTGCCATCGCTTTGATACAAATGGCGGCAGCAGCGCCCGTCGTCGACAACAGCCTGGAGCAGAACCTCGAATGTATGTTTCGACGTGTCTTGTAGTATTCGCACCTTCTGACTAGATATGCATCCAGCTCGTCTCATCATATTTTGTGGGCTGAATTCTAACGTGGCTGCAGTAGTATCTGAGTGACATTATCTAATTAGATTTTGTTGACCCCAAATCTGAGGAAGGTAATTCTTCAATGCTGATTTTACTGCCGAGCATTATATTCACATGGTTGATAACGCAGTTGTCGAGGAGCGCGCTGAGCAGAACCTCGAAGGTATGTTGCGACGTGTCTTGTAGTATTTGCGCCCTCTAACTAGATATGCATCTACCTCGTATTCAACCATGTAGGTTGAATTCTAACGTGCCAACGGTAGTATTTGAGTGACACTGTCTAATTAGATGACTTTGCTGAGGACTCCTGATATCGAAGGTAATTCTCCAGTGCTGGCCTTGTTTTCGAACATTCTATTTACCCTGTTCGATTACAGATGTTAATCTCGACTAAAGTAAGTCTTTAGTTTTGGCCCTGGAGTCTCGACTCTTTTTGAATAATCATCGCCACTAACATAAGGACAGAGGCTTGGCGTTGTGGATCCCGGCAGTGAATGGAATTGACTTTTCATAGTCTAAATCAGTTTAGTACCAGTGTTTGTCTTCTTGATTTTAGCTGGCCTGAAGAGTACCATCAGGTAGATCTTGTCCTCTGATCGTTTCGAATGCG